ACACACACACACACACACACACACACACACACACACACACACACACACGCACACACACACACACACACACACACACACACACACATCAAACCATCTCTGGTTAAAAATAGCTTTTGACCAATTTTATTTCAGAAGTGTTTATCAAGTTGGTAGTCCTTTGCATTCATCAGTAGGCTACCCAAGAAGCATTGTAGCTCTCAGCTTCAAAAACGTTGGTAATTTAACGGGATTTATTCGTTTAACAGTATGGGGCCTAGGTAGAGTGTCAAAGACCCAGACAGAGTCAGCCCGGCACTTCCTCCACATGCTTTTCACAGTGTTGTAGAATGGCATTTCAATTTCCAAGCAACAATTGTCACAAGTCAGCCAATGTGGTTGTGTCTGTCACTCGGGCATGAACAGGACACCCAAGCTGAGCCACAAGTGTTCACTGTGATTGAGGTCAAGACATTCCAATTTTCCCTCCTGTGTACAATCTTAGCTCAAAACGTGAGCTAGTCACCGCCATGCTTTGCGGCAGGTGTCATGTTCTCATGATGCATGATCTTGTTTTTGCAAGCAACTGCTTTTTAGAATTGTGGTCTGAAAATTCAACCTTGGTTTCATCAGACCTTAACATCTTCTCCCACATACTCATCCACAGCTGTTCCTCTCATGACCACCAAACGACACAGTCCTTGTGAAATGCAAAACCTCAAGGCTTCATACAGAACAGGACATCCAAATTGGGGACGTTCAAACGTCTTTGTCTGAATCATACTGTGCCAGTCAGTTCCACGTGAATCGAACTGATTCTTTGCGAACACTTTAATAATTGATCATATTTCCTGGATGTGATTCAAACTGCATGTATTCTCGTTTTTTGTATCCAAACATACTTGTTTATGAAACACAAAGGAAGACCAAAATAACAGTAACACAAAAATAAATTACAGGTAAATTATTTTTTATTTAAAATAATTCTATCAAAACAAACTCTTGCAGCACCTGATCTGTGTTAGTTGAACCCAGAACCCACTGTGCTGCCCTACTAAGTCATATTCTAATTCTTAATTTCATCATTTGTTTGCACCATCACTACCCATCCATCTATCGATCCGTTATCCATTAAAGTTAAGGTGCAAGGTGCATTTTTAAGGTGCAATATTTAAATAAGTGGAACACAAAAGACAGGACTAGAGGATACGTTTGAAGAAAAAAAAAAATAAAAAGAATGGTGTTGTTTTATTATTGTAATAGTTAAAACACTGATCCAGGCCTTTAGTAATCTTCAGAGGCAATGATGCCGCAGTGATGTCAATTATTTCTTGTTAGATGACAGCGCTCAATATTATCCATTCAAGTTTCCTATGATGTCATTTCCTATGCATTTTACTTGTTGTGATGTAGGTATTTCATATACATCATGCTGTCTTAAAATGGCATTGTTGCTTAGCAACAAAATTTAATAAGTAATGAAGAATGCAATTCATACAGTAGTTGGTAATCTAAAACAATTCCTAAGGAAAGCAAGTAACCAAGTAGATATGTAATTATTCTTACATTTGATTGTGTTTGTGTAAAGCTGCTTGCGACATAAATTGTACAGTTTGTGTACTTGACATTGAAGTATTGAAATGGACAAGTGGAAAGGGTAGCATTCAACATCATTCAGCAATCCTGTTGTTTACGATTAACCCCTCGGACGACAACAGACAGAAGCATGGTGCAGATCATTTAGCTTGAAAAGTAATATCTACGAAAAAGGAAACTCTTCATTTCATTCCAGCCAGGCAACACAGATGGCACGCACAAAAAGTGTGTTGCCATCACCTGTCTCGACGAGTCTTCCTTGCCAGCTGTTTGGGAGAACAAATGATGTTAAATTAAAAAAAAAAAAAAACCTCCTGCTTCACAGAATAATGCGTGGTACAAATATTTGCTGAACATAACGATATAATCCTAGTTACTGTATGTCATGTACTGTTGTACATCAGCAACGATAATATCGAGCAGCCGATAGATTGTTGAATGATTTGTATCAGTGGGACAAGACAAGTCCTGTCTCCTGGAAATGGCATCTTTTTCCTCCAATTGTGAATACGGACGTTTCGGGTGATTATCCAATGAAATGATGAAAAAACTTAAGTCCCACCCTCAAGGAATGACGTTATGGCGGGCTTCCTGTAGAGTTCAGCGTTACGTTCTGCCCTCCAACTTGTTTATTTCGTCGAACCGCGACGTTTGGGATTGAGGAAACCGTAAAGTGTTTGCGAAAGTGTACTGAAGTTCGTTGTTCACGCCGTCCCTGCTCGAGTATCCAAACAGGAAATTCAGGTCAGAGGGCGCTCTTTTCAGACGCATTTGAACGCGACTGAGTTACGTGAGACTTAATTTTCAATGGTTATCACTGTAACGTTATGATTTCATCTTGAGGGGGATTCAAAGTAACAGCTCAGTTTAACATTCTTATTGGAAGTAGTACCTAGGTCATGTTCTGTGTAAATCAACGGCACTTAGCCTGGTGTGAGAAATGGTTCATGAGCTTAACAAACCCATTTGTTGTTAGCCAAGAGCTAGCGTTACAAGTTAGCTCCTTGCCGAAGTTAAAGTCAAGTCAACTTTGTTGTCAAATGTGCTCGATGTGCAACCTACAACACAGATGAAATTTCTTTCCTCTCAACCACATGAGAGAGAAGAGCCGCTGCGGATACTCGCGCCGCCATCAACAGAACAGAACAGTTAACATTAAATGACAAATAAAACAAGACAACACATAAGACACAGACAGTCATGCAATCTTAACCACTTTTCTGCATACACTTTGTTTTTTGAAGCAGTTATAGATGAAAGAGGAGAGAATCAAAGTTGCTAGTTGATTGCCAAGTTTGGGGACATTGCACATCGTGAGCTATACATAATTGGCTCATAATTTATAGCAATTAATGGTCTTGTAAGGTTATGTCAAGGAATTAATGGCCTTTTAAGGTTATGTCAAGTCAGGGCATTGCTTCTTATACGCGTTTACTATAATTACTTCCTCGTGCTACTTTGCACAGTTAATTGATGGTTGTTCCCTATTAAATATTAACCTTACATCCCTAATGTTTTCTAGGTATTCCAGATGGTCTCGATTTGAGTTGCCCTCAAGCAAAACTGGGCTCGACCCTGATTGTTCAATAAATGGCAGAGAGTTTTTACAAGTTAGAAGATGAAGCCTTCCCCAGTTTCCTCGGCAAATCTCTGGACAGCACCATTGGCCGTGCTACTCTGGGAAATTTAACACTGGGCTCAGGCCCTGGGCTGCCTGTGGCTGCTTCGACAGTGGCTAAAATTAGACCTCAGTCTGAGAACAGGTGGGAGAATACCTCTTCTTGGGATAGATCTAACCTGTAACTATGCATCATCTAGAGCAGTGGTTCTTAACCTTGGCACATTCACTGAACCTTTCTTCTGTGATTTTTATTTTTTATTTTATTTTTTTTTACAAATTCAAGACATAAAAAAAACAAAGTTATTGAAAACAAAAAAGTAAATAAAATTACATGGCAGTGTTTTTTTTTTTTTGTTTTTTTTTTTTTAAATTGTATGACTACTATCACGACAGTCACATGGTGACTACTGAGCAAACTAAATTTCCCGCAACACTGATTGGATAAGCAATGTAATGTGATCATCTGCAGCCAGTGATGGCCAAGCGGCGGTGTCATAACTAATTGACATGTTGATTTGGGTGTGTCTTAATCTCCATGGCAGAGGCTCCGTCGAACCCCTGAGACCGATTCACCAAACCCCTAGGGTTCGATCGAACCCAGGTGAAAAACCACTGATCTAGAGAATCATCACATAGGCTTGTGTATTATTCCAAACAAACTACTGTTTAAAGGAATTCTTACAGCAGCATGTACAAGCAATGAAGTGAGCTTGAATTTATATTACTGTACTGTTTTTTTTCTATTCCTGCTACATTGGGGTATTCTCGGTATATGCTGAGATGTGTTGAGATGATCTATATTTAACTACTCAGTGTAGTTCTACATTTGAGTAGAACTAGTCACTCTTTTTGAATGTAATACAAATTTTAATGGGGTTGCCGTATTCTCACCTTTTACAGAGACTGTGCTGCTGCTTCATACCTCGAGGAAAGTGAGCTGCAGCAGGCAAACTCGAAGTCATCTGTAGACAAGCAGCCCAAGTTTGCCCTCAGTTTCAAAGATGACATGTGAGTAAAATATTGTCTGAATACTGAGTTCATGCATTTTGGGACCTGGCATAAGCACTTCTGTAAGGAATTAGACTTTTGCACTGAAGCGTCATGGTTCTAGTCCCACTACGTGCAAAAGAAATTGCAACTAGTTTTTGAAGCGATGCCTCTTCTTCCTGACTCCTGTTGAGGGGCATTTGAGCAAGGCACCACCTCCCCCAAATGCAGCTGAAGGATGCAACGCCATTTTTGTGTACTGTCACTCTAACACCTTCCTTCTTCGCTTTCCAGATGTTTGTATACTGCGGCTGTGTGATGTGCAATAAATATATACAGCAGACTGTAAAATGCATTTCTTATTGAGGGATGAAAATGTGTATGAGAAGCACAAGTAGCAAATCTGTTGATTTCATAAATGGTAGACATGTATGGTCATGGGGTGTACTTTGCCATCGTTTGCCATTAATCAAGATTGTGGTCTGTAGTCTTGAAAATAATACAGTTTTCATATTCATTGATTAAGTTTATGTAGTAGAGTGTTTGGGCCCTTTTTCTTGTAATGTAAAACACTTTTTCTGTCATCCACCAGCAGACAGTTTTGTTGTATTTTTTGTAACGGCTACTCAGGAATGAGCACTTGAGTCAGATCATGCATCTATCCATTTTCTGAACTGGTCATCCTCCTGTGAAATGTTTACTTACTGGCATCACTATTACGAGTCAGCACTCTCATATTTGCTCTGCTGCTTCATTGACTATATCAAAGATTTAATGCTTTAGTTTCTGGAGTCAGTTTATTTATTTTGTTTTATTAAATATATAGAATTATTTGAATATTGCTATTTATTTAGGGACAATGCAGATGACTTTATCGCAGAACATCATCTATCAAAAATGCTGGTTAAGATTAACATGGATGAAAGCGCATCCAGAAACCAAGACTCCTTCCTGGGCCGTCTTCCCACTCAGATCGGCTCAGTCCAGGGCAGGCACACTGAACTTCCGACAGGTAAGAACATCCCTGTGTATCCAGTTCCCCCAATTCCTGAATATTATTTGCGCCTTATTATTCATTATAAAAGCTACTTTTGTTTGCAGGATAATTTAAAATATACATTATTATTATTTTTTGGAAATGGCAAAGCTGTATTAAGTTTATCCTTGTGTTCTAGTAGATCCGTCTTTTGCATAAGACAAAACTTGCTGTGTTGTGAGTCCCGTCTTTGTCAGATCTCTCAACAGGCCTCCTAACATTTGCTCAGTTTGGACACAAGGATCGTACAGACACAAAGGTATTTTTTTGAATTTCTCTAAAATACGGAGAGAAGCTTATTGCTTTCTTACTGTATAGGAACGATTAATTTCCTATCAAAATTGAAATCCAAAAATGTATGGGTAGCTCATAACTAAATATTTCATTTAAAGCAGTCTTTACACATCTTCATGGACATAACTCGGCTTAACTGCAAGTTCTGTGAATGCTTGTGGACTGTTACAGCAAGGCTTAATAATTCCAAAGTAATTTTTCCAATATCATGTACAACAGGTGCTCTCCCTGCAAGCCACTACTGAGAAAAAGAACGTGCTAAGTGAAGCAGTGGACAGTGACCATTTCAGTGGCAGCAACTGCAGTTTTTTGGAAAATGAAAAGCTCATCTCTGTGGACAGCATCGACAGTGACATTACAGGTATGACTAATGCATATGTGTATGTTTTTACTGGATATTGAATTAACTTTGGGAAGCTTCAACAGTCAAGGCCTAAGGTTTCGAAAGAGAACTATGTTTTTCACTATTGAGAGTAGTACCAGGACAGATGAGCATTTTACCATGCGTATAACAAGGGTCCACATCCATGTTTAATTGCTTTTTGTGTGTGTGTGTGTGTGTGTGTGTGTGTGTGTGTGTGTGTGTGTGTGTGTGTGCGTGTTGTGTCTGTGTATCTGTAGGTTTCAGTTTCGTTCATTTTCGGGGCCGTTTAAGGCTGTTGCTCATCGTGGCGTGTATGCGTGCGTGCATATGCATGTACATGTATGCTTGCACGTTCGTGATCAGATCGATCGCGGGAGGTCTGTTGCTTCAAAAGTCTATCTTCGGTCAAGGTTGGGCTCCCCTCTTTTAGAGAGAGGTGATTCCTCGGTTTAAAGTCAAATGCATCCTGGAATGGTCTACTTATTTTGAGGCTATTCTTGATAAGCTTCCACTTTAGAACTGTTTCAGGTTCCTGATGATTCAAAATTCCACAAATCTCAGATCTAACACCTGGGAAGCCAAGCCCCCCCCCCTCCCCCCCACTTCTTTTGGGGTAGTGTGGGGGGGGTGGTGAAAAAAAAGTGCCCTAATCTATTGATAATGGCTGTTAATTATATTCTGAATTTCGCTACTCGTCAGGCAACCTGGTCCCTATCCGCTGTGAATAGTGTGGGTCCACTGTACTTTTGTTTATTTTCACACTATTGTTTAAGGCAGTGGTTCTTAACCTGGGTTCGATTGAACCCCAGGGGTTCAGTGAGTCGGTCTCAGGGGTTCGACGGAGCCTCTGCCATGCAGGGTGAGACACACGCGACTCAACATGTTAATTAGTGATGACATGCCCGCTTGGCCATCACTGGCTCCAGATGAGCACATGACATTGCTTGTGCAATCAGTGCCGTGGGAAATTTAGTTCGCTTAGTAGTCAACGTGTGACCGTCGTGATAGTACCTCGTACAATTAAAAAAAAAAAAAAAAAAAGTATACTTATCTCCTGAAATTTTATTTATTTTTTTCTGTTTTTAATAAATGCGTTTTTTTTTAATATCTTGAAGTTGCAAAAAATGTAAGTATTTATTTTTCACTCATGAAGGGTTCGGTGAATGTGCATATTAACTGGTAGGATCCGGTACCTCTAAAAAGGTTAAGAACCACTGGTTTAGGGTATATTGGACCTTCTAATGTTTGTCATCATGGGGTTTCTGCTCTGTCTTCCTGGCTAGATCACCCTTGAAAAAGACACCTCTGTGTTTTTAATTTTCTAGTTGGTTGATTTGAGTCTGTATAATCCCCAGATGATAACATTGATTTCAACAATTTGCCGGACAATGAGTTGGAGCTGTACTTCAAAAAACTGGTGCCTTCTGCAATGCAAAGGGGTACGGTGGAGGGCGAAGAGCTCCCTGCAACAACAGTAAGATTAAAACATTGGTTCTCAGTCCTGTTTTGATAATGTAGTGGAGTGGTTCTCAAATCGGGGTGAAGCCACTTCGGCGGGTAAATGAGATTTTAAAATATATATTTTATAAAGTAGCACCTATGCAAGAAACAAAACAACTTGATCACAACAGTTATGCTGATGCTACAATTTGTTAATTGTTGTCTTATTTACTAGATGCTGCCTCGGTCATCTGACCAATCCTATTCGAGTTCCACAGAGCCTGAACAGGACAGACGCCAGATAACTGATGACTGTGATCAGGTTAATATAAATACACATTTGGCTCTTGAAAATGTGTATTTGTAATGTTACTCCTTTTCTCCTTCTTTTCAGGACAACTTCCAGATGCCTGTTGTGCGTCTTGCTGCCACAGGTATGGACTCCTATCCTGCAAGTGATGAAGACACTGAGGATGAGCTTGAGAGTGCCAGACAGACAAGCAGTTCCACTAGAATGAAGCTACTACCAAGCATCTCCAGGCAGTTGGTGAGAAACGGAATAGAAGGATTTATCGAGCCAAACGGTCACAACCTCACAGCAGTGATTTGTTCCTCGAGCCGGTCCTCGAGGCCAAGGACCGGCTCGAGGACTGAAGGTCGGTCCTTGGTCCTTGGCCTTGGCCTCGGAAAATTTTTCAAGTCCTTGGCCTTGGCTTTGCCTCGGAAAATTGTCCAAGTCCTTGGCCTTGGCTTTGCCTCGGAAAATTGTCCAAGTCCTTGGCCTTGGCTTTGCCTCGGAAAATTGTCCAAGTCCTTGGCCTTGGCTTTGCCTCGGAAAATTGTCCAAGTCCTTGGCCTTGGCTTTGCCTCGGAAAATTGTCCAAGTCCTTGGCCTTGGCTTTGCCTCGGAAAATTGTCCAAGTCCTTGGCCTTGGCTTTGCCTCGGAAAATTGTCCAAGTCCTTGGCCTTGGCTTTGCCTCGGAAAATTGTCCAAGTCCTTGGCCTTGGCTTTGCCTCGGAAAATTGTCCAAGTCCTTGGCCTTGGCTTTGCCTCGGAAAATTGTCCAAGTCCTTGGCCTTGGCTTTGCCTCGGAAAATTGTCCAAGTCCTTGGCCTTGGCTTTGCCTCGGAAAATTGTCCAAGTCCTTGGCCTTGGCTTTGCCTCGGAAAATTGTCCAAGTCCTTGGCCTTGGCTTTGCCTCGGAAAATTGTCCAAGTCCTTGGCCTTGGCTTTGCCTCGGAAAATTGTCCAAGTCCTTGGCCTTGGCTTTGCCTCGGAAAATTGTCCAAGTCCTTGGCCTTGGCTTTGCCTCGGAAAATTGTCCAAGTCCTTGGCCTTGGCTTTGCCTCGGAAAATTGTCCAAGTCCTTGGCCTTGGCTTTGCCTCGGAAAATTGTCCAAGTCCTTGGCCTTGGCTTTGCCTCGGAAAATTGTCCAAGTCCTTGGCCTTGGCTTTGCCTCGGAAAATTGTCCAAGTCCTTGGCCTTGGCTTTGCCTCGGAAAATTGTCCAAGTCCTTGGCCTTGGCTTTGCCTCGGAAAATTGTCCAAGTCCTTGGCCTTGGCTTTGCCTCGGAAAATTGTCCAAGTCCTTGGCCTTGGCTTTGCCTCGGAAAATTGTCCAAGTCCTTGGCCTTGGCTTTGCCTCGGAAAATTGTCCAAGTCCTTGGCCTTGGCTTTGCCTCGGAAAATTGTCCAAGTCCTTGGCCTTGGCTTTGCCTCGGAAAATTGTCCAAGTCCTTGGCCTTGGCTTTGCCTCGGAAAATTGTCCAAGTCCTTGGCCTTGGCTTTGCCTCGGAAAATTGTCCAAGTCCTTGGCCTTGGCTTTGCCTCGGAAAATTGTCCAAGTCCTTGGCCTTGGCTTTGCCTCGGAAAATTGTCCAAGTCCTTGGCCTTGGCTTTGCCTCGGAAAATTGTCCAAGTCCTTGGCCTTGGCTTTGCCTCGGAAAATTGTCCAAGTCCTTGGCCTTGGCTTTGCCTCGGAAAATTGTCCAAGTCCTTGGCCTTGGCTTTGCCTCGGAAAATTGTCCAAGTCCTTGGCCTTGGCTTTGCCTCGGAAAATTGTCCAAGTCCTTGGCCTTGGCTTTGCCTCGGAAAATTGTCCAAGTCCTTGGCCTTGGCTTTGCCTCGGAAAATTGTCCAAGTCCTTGGCCTTGGCTTTGCCTCGGAAAATTGTCCAAGTCCTTGGCCTTGGCTTTGCCTCGGAAAATTGTCCAAGTCCTTGGCCTTGGCTTTGCCTCGGAAAATTGTCCAAGTCCTTGGCCTTGGCTTTGCCTCGGAAAATTGTCCAAGTCCTTGGCCTTGGCTTTGCCTCGGAAAATTGTCCAAGTCCTTGGCCTTGGCTTTGCCTCGGAAAATTGTCCAAGTCCTTGGCCTTGGCTTTGCCTCGGAAAATTGTCCAAGTCCTTGGCCTTGGCTTTGCCTCGGAAAATTGTCCAAGTCCTTGGCCTTGGCTTTGCCTCGGAAAATTGTCCAAGTCCTTGGCCTTGGCTTTGCCTCGGAAAATTGTCCAAGTCCTTGGCCTTGGCTTTGCCTCGGAAAATTGTCCAAGTCCTTGGCCTTGGCTTTGCCTCGGAAAATTGTCCAAGTCCTTGGCCTTGGCTTTGCCTCGGAAAATTGTCCAAGTCCTTGGCCTTGGCTTTGCCTCGGAAAATTGTCCAAGTCCTTGGCCTTGGCTTTGCCTCGGAAAATTGTCCAAGTCCTTGGCCTTGGCTTTGCCTCGGAAAATTGTCCAAGTCCTTGGCCTTGGCTTTGCCTCGGAAAATTGTCCAAGTCCTTGGCCTTGGCTTTGCCTCGGAAAATTGTCCAAGTCCTTGGCCTTGGCTTTGCCTCGGAAAATTGTCCAAGTCCTTGGCCTTGGCTTTGCCTCGGAAAATTGTCCAAGTCCTTGGCCTTGGCTTTGCCTCGGAAAATTGTCCAAGTCCTTGGCCTTGGCTTTGCCTCGGAAAATTGTCCAAGTCCTTGGCCTTGGCTTTGCCTCGGAAAATTGTCCAAGTCCTTGGCCTTGGCTTTGCCTCGGAAAATTTTCCAAGTCCTTGGCCTTGGCCTTGGCCTCGGGTTGCCGGTCCTTGGACACATCCCTGCCTCACAGACGCCAGGCTACTCTGTAGTATGCCAGGGCTTTTCCTGGCTCAAATTGAGGCAGAGGTGGTACCATCCTGACCATGCGCCATAATGTGCATGTATTCTGTAAATTCAGCGGACTCACTTTCTTTTACAGGAAACATGCGCTAAGTTAAGAGCTCCAGTAAGAATATGACTATTATGTTAAAGCATTAGTTTATTAAAACTTGGATAATAAAGGCCTCTTCTCAGAGTCCACAAACTCTTGGGTAATTATCCATAAAGACCACCCACAAGTACTGCAAGGTGAAAAAGTGCAGCGTGCACACAAATAAATAAATAAAAGTCGATGGAGTAAACTCACATGTGAGCACTGCAGTGTATGACTTGAAGCCAGCTAACAGGGCTAACATCATCCAGCCATAAATCAGAAGTGAGGCACGTGTAATTTTCCTTCTGTCAGGGTATGCAGAAACATGACACCTCCTGTTTTAGAATATAGTGGCGTCTCCGAAGTCTAAACCGTACGCGGCGAGTGGGTTAGTAGCCCCCAAAAGTCAGCGATGCAAAAAGGCGCCCACAACATAAATGTTGAAATCAGATTGTGTCGTATGAGGCCCATGGCTCCTCTCTGGCAAAAGGTTTGCATTTTTCTTTTCTTGACAGCGCAGCCATCTTCGTTGGCTTTCAGAATGCCATCATCCCCATGCCCGTCCTTTTTTTAAAAATTAGACTTACTGACAAGATGTTATTACGATAATTATTTTGCATCCCAAGTTTCAGTGTGTTTTGGAGCCGCAGTTGTATGTGTGCACAGGACACGGAGTGATACTGGAGCTCTGTGAAAGAGGACCCATTGCTTTCGGTCTTTCCTGTGCACTGCTGTTCATATAGCGCCTCCACAGTGGTGCAATGCTGCAACTGCAGTCAAAATACGATGCTTTACGCTGTGTTGAACGATGTCAATCAGTCTGGCTGGGGGCGGCCGCTATGCAATTTTAAGATGATTTAAGATATCTGTTTGCCTGTGTCTTTTTACAGGTTGGGGAAAGCACTCATCCCAGTTTTAGGCCAGGTTTAGAAGGGGGAAGTTCGGATGATGAGTCGTCAAGCGGCCCTGGCGGTCCATCGGTGTCTGGGATTGAACACAGACGATCTGCAGAGGGACAAGTTATTAACCCTCCTGTCACAGGTTAGTTGTTGTATAATTATGCACTATTTAGCGGATCTCGAGATTATGTTGTCACTTTTGATTTACATGAAGTTTGACATCTTGACACCAATATGTTTGATTTTGTTGTTCCAGAAATTGTTGTACAGTATTTGTAGAATATGAGCAATTTATCTGCTAACATTACTTTGCTCAATCAAGACGCTTCAGTGTGTTCTATATTCATATGAGTGTTCTTAAGAACACATTAAGGGGTGAATTCCACGTTCTTCAAAAGTGTGAAGTGGGTCAGTAGGAACGTGTTATTGGGTCATTATACGATACACACCCACAGTTGAATTAAATGTGCGCAAAATTGTTGGTACCCAGAAATAACTTGAATCTGACAAAAGTCCGAATAAATTAAAATTGATAATTAAAATCAGCCACTGCTTTTGAAATGTGGTTCAACAGAATTATAAAAAAAAAAAAAAATCACAATAATAATGAAACAGGCCTGAATAAAAACGTTGGTGCTTTTACCTTACCGGTAATATTTTGTTGCGCAACCATTTGAGGTAATCGCTACAATCCAATGATTTTTGTAACTTTCAGTGAGACTTCTGCACTTCTCAGCAGGTACGGTATTTGGAACCACTCTTCATAACAAACCGAATGTACGAAAGCATTGGTTGGTCTTTATTTTCATGAACACATTCATATTCAGGAAATGTGTCCTCTGCATGACACCACAGTCTTGAGCCTGCTGTCAATGGTCAGTTGCCTCTGATCCTAACCACTTGGCCACTGCTTAGTATAATAATTTGTTTTTGTCATATATTATATGATACTGAACATGAAGCTCATTCACTTTGCATGGACAGACAACTTGCATGATTGTTGTTGTCGTTGTTGTTTTTGTCTAAATCAGGGGATGGAGGCGGTGGGGATGGGAGCAGTGGGAGTGAAGAGAGTGGCGATGATGGGGGAGTTTCAACGATCCCTTTTCCCACCTCAACAAATGTTCCGTCCACCTATGATATGATGCGTGGGCTGGGGATTCTGGGTAGCAGTTCTGTTGGTGAATATGGAGATGGTGCTTCTTATAATCCCACAGAACATGGAAGTGTCAACTTTAACACACATGCAGAGGTACGTGTATAGTCTCTAATTATTGCCACTTTGAAGCAGCAAGACTGATTAAGCATGGTTCGCTGTGTTTATCTGTAAAATCTGCATCATTTCATTTGACCCACTTCAAACTTTCAAAGATTGTTGTCTTTCCGAGCAATATCTGTATAAATTCTTCCTTGCCTTGCTGAGCATACATACTAATCAGTAATAGCCAGGGTTGGGATGGTTACTTTTAAAATATATTCTGATATGGTTACTAGTTACCCGTTAAAAAAATGTAGTCACTAATGTAATCCGAGCACCAACATTCCAGTAATGTAACTTGATTACTTTTGGATTGCTCCAATACCAAGTACACCAATGAAGACAAAATAAATATTGCTGCAATATATATTTGTATACAGTGGACCCCACTATTTGCAGGGAATAGAGACTGGGCCGACCACAAATAGCACAAATCCGGAGATGAACAGATCAGTGACTCTCAAGTGCTGGGATACATTCGTAAAAGAGCTCTTATCTGCTCCAAGAAATCAACAAATTTCACTTAATTAGCCAAAAAATTTATATTTATAACATATATAAGGTATCATTCATCTATCTACTTGTATATCAGTGACTTATAGAGGCAGGCAGAACAAATTAATGATCTTCTATGAAATCGTAATTTAGTTTTCAGGGTAGAATGGATTCATTGCATTTCCATTCATTTCAGTTGCAAAATATTACCTCAATTTAGGAACATTTCAGGTTACAAATTGGCTCATGCAACCAATTAAATTCATAACTCGAGGTTGCACTGTAATAGTATACCTAGCCAAGCCAAGATTTATAATAATCTTGCTTTTATTTTATTTTTTTATTTCTATGCACACAGATGGGTGACCGTGTGGGTCCTGTTGGAAACGGTGAAGCCTGCACCTCTAAATCTTCATTGGAGGGAAATCAGGGACTCGCTCCTGTGAACTGGACCATGGTTATGGACAGACAGGAGGCACTGGTGAGTAACAGAATATGTGTGAATGCTAGATTATTTGAACTGAAATAATACTAGTGTGGCGGCCCGGTGGTCCAGTGGTTAGCGCGTCGACTTCACAGTGCAGAGGTTCGATTCCAGCTCTGGCCTTCCTGTGTGGAGTTTGCATGTTCTCACCGTGCCTGCATGGGTTTTCTTCGGGTACTCCGGTTTCCTCCCACATTCCAAAAACATGCATGGCAGGCTGATTGAACACTCTAAATTGTCCCTAGGTGTGAGTGTGAGCACGGATGGTTGTTCGTCTCAGTGTGCCCTGCGATTGGCTGGCAACCGGTTCAGGATGTCCCCCGCCTACTGCCCCAAGACAGCTAGGATAGGCTCCAGCATGCCCCGCGAACTTTGTGAGGATAAAGCGGATCAGAAAATGGATGGATGGATGGATAATAGTGTTACTTACTTGGGTACATTTAGCATAAGTAAAACTTGTAATGCTTCCAAGATATTTATTTAACATAAGGAAAGCTTATTTGTTGCACATTTCATCTATAAGACTCTTCAAATTGCTTTACATAAAACATTAAAAGCATTACAAAAAGGGAAACAAAATGTTGAAATTGCAAAAATCATGAAATAATCTAAATGGATGAGATTAAAACCAAGCATCAGTCTAAATAAATTAAAAGATAGCAAGAAAATGCTAATTTAAAACAAGATAATAAAGGATAGATTCATGAAAATGCTGGAGTAAACAGTGTTTTCAGCCCTGATTTAAATGAACTGACAGTATGAGCAGACCTCAGGTATTTGGTGAGTTTGTTCCACAGGTGAGGAGCATAGTAACTAAATGCTGCTTCACTTTGGTTTTGGGTCTGGGAACACGGAAAAGACCTGTCCCAAATGACCTCAGGGTTCTGGGTGCTTCATTGGGTCCTAAAACATGTACTTTTGTCCTACACCATTTAGAGATTTGTAGACCAACAGCAAGATTTTACAGTCTATTGTTGCCTAATTTCATCTTCATGGATGACAATACTCCATCTCATTGAGGTCACATCATCAGGAAACTTCTGTTGGAGCCTGGTATACCGCAAATGGAATGGCCTGCTAGTTCAGTTGGCATTGATGAGCATGACAGTCTTTTGTCTTGTCCAAGAAAACTATGTAGCACAACTGGATAAATAAGGCTGGTGATTTTTATTTTCCTACCCGCCCCCAAAACTATAGCAACTAACATTTTATAATTTGAATGCCAGGATGCCATGGAAAGCACTGAGTCTACGACAACAAATGATCGATCTGACTTTGCTTATGTGAAAAATGAAGCTGGACCTAAGAGATTCTTGCAAGCAAAATCCTCTTTGTCCCAACTTCAAGTTGCCCAGGACAACTTCCATGGCTCAAAGGTAGGATGGTCCAAATATTTTAAACATTGATTGAAGACCATTTGTTTTTCAAGAGTTCCCGCGGGGATAGAAGTGCTTAAAGGGGGTCTCACTCCACTACCAAGACTCTTGCTCCACCCCTCACGAATATTTGAAAACGGCGCTCAAAGTGGGGTGTTGCCTGGAGGACCATTGCTCTTGGGAGGGGAAAGGTTTTGGCCTGGTCTGGTCTAAACAATCCTCCTTAAGACTAAACGACGTCCTAAATATTTTCTATACTACGACAAGCTATGCTAAATAATCACAAACCTGAAAATTGATATAAAGATGTAGGAGTCTGGGCCATTTATATACTCCATAGTGGCAACTCGGCTATGTCGAGATTCTGAAAGTGACGTCTGGATTCCCCGCCAGTCCAATCCAGAGGAGAGAAAGCCAACTTCACATCAGTGCAGTTTGTAACATGAAGATGGCTACAAGCAATGTCATCGAGTGATAACTGGTAGTCAATGTGGTTTTTTTCTTCTGTTTTTACAGGATTTATTTTCCCTAGATTTACTCTATTTCTCGGAAAACATATATTGAATGTTTATCAGCTTTGTTTGAAGAATTTTCTAGAGTTGCTTAAAAAAAGACCCCCCCCCATTTTTAAAATCAATCAAGGGGCCATTTAGTGTGAAATTGTCCAAATCCTCTGACTTCAACTTGTTCGCAGTAATTATTATGATTTCTGTAGTCCTTCATGAAAACGGATTGATTGTCTGTTTCATCAAAATTGCAAACATCTACTATTACTTTGGGAAAACAAAGTAAATTGTATTTGTTGTGTCTTTAGTTTTCGAGTAAACTCTTAACTTGTTTGTCATTAAACAGTTTAAAACATACTCGAGACGGGGCAGAATCACATGCACATCACACGTTTGTTGCACAGCAACAAGGTGCATTTGGGGCTCTTTCAAAACGTCAGGAACTGGGAACCACGCCGTTCAGTACAATAATTGTTTTATCTTTGATTAGTGAGAAGCCAAAAGCAAAATAATTACATTTCAATTAATTGACCAGCTCCAAGTCAATTCAACAAAAATGAATCTTAAAACAAAAGTGAAAGTTTTATTTTGAACTGCACTACCAGTCAAAGATTTGGACACAGTGTCTCAGAGCACTTCTAAGTGTCCCAAATTTTGACTAGGAGTGAACATCTGAATAGAAAGTGGAATGTGTTAGAGTAATTGAAATGATCCATTTCCATTAGCACTAGAACTGGGTTTCCAACTGTAAGTGTGACAGATTGGTTAAAAAAAAACAAACTCAAAACATTTCAATTCAGGTGCTGCCTCCAGTGAATTTAAGAGGAGGACCATGTAGTAACACTTCTGCCTTTGAGGCCTCGGATGCTACCAGCGAGGAAGAGAATGATGATCTTTCTACCTCCCTGGAGCCAAAATATTTCTGTCAAAGCTTCCAGGGTGAGCGAGATCATGACTGGAGCAGCGTTCCAGACAGGTTGGGATTGGATTTTCAGCAAGGTTGGTGTTTACGAAAGGAGCAGAAATCATTTGTTGTCATTTTATGAAGTCTTTGCAATGATATTGAAGCCGTGTCACCAAATTAAGGTTGCTTTACAATTTTTGATTTATGACCACGTAGCCCTGATACTTTGAGCCTCCTGTGAAGATTGCTTTTCTTCTTAGGTGCCTGTGCCCCTCATAGTGTCGTGTACAAAAATGAAGAAGGCCAGTGGGTAACAGATCTGGCTTATTCCACCTCCTTTGAGAAGGAAGTTGATGGGAAGATATCACAAAGCAATGGGCAATTTCAAACTGAGGACTTTGTTTCTGCTGGTATGTATCAGGTGAACAGAAATATATACTGTATGTCCATGTGTGTTGTAGTTACTGAACACATTGTTTATGCTGTGATGTCATTAGGGATGGTACCAAAGACAGAACTGTTTAGGGTTTGCACCGAATATCGACAGTACTACCGAGAACCAATTTGAACCATATTTATGATTTCATGTGGGGGGCCAAAATGCAGCAAATTACGTAGCACGTCGGGTACATTCCAATGATGAATTTGATCCCAACAATTACTTTTTTTTTCTCATTCATATCCTCTTCTGTCATTTTTTGCTAAATTTCAATCCAAGATGGATTTGAGCTCATCTCATGTGCAGCAGGCCTTGCGTTCTTGACAAACTTCACAAGGAACGAAGATAACACTAGTACAATTAACTTCATTGTATTACTGTTCATTCAATTTGTCGCTTATTGCAAAGAACTTTGTTTTGCACTTTGTTTTTTAATATTAACAATGTTGCTATTATTTATACTTTTTAATTTTAAAATTGTATACATTTTATTTTTCCCCCTTTCTCTGGCTCATGTTGTAAATGCATTTTTGTTATTAATCACGTTATAAAATTGAAAACTAATTGTTAAAGTGATTTTTTTTTTTAACTGTAAAATAAATCCTTTATTACCACAAACAGGAAAAAAGTACCGTACTGAAAATTGGAACTGAATTGGTTCATTTGGGAAAGGTACGCTTTCCTAGAAGTCAAATGAGATTATGTAGTATATTTTGCATTCTAATGTTTCATTTGGCTTTGCTTTGTTGCAGGCGAAGCATTAGACAAGATAATGAAAGATCAAGTGGAATTTGAGAAGGAGCACCAATTTATGCAGGTATAGTCACAACAGAAATGTGATGCTTATTGTAGTCCCTGTAATGCATTGGGGTTTTAAGTTGGCCCACGCCTTTTCATAGACGTTTTTTCTCTGATCCTACAGTTATACTGTAAATCTCAACTGATCCAACCTCAAATTATTTGTCTTTGTCACTGCAAGAACCGAAATGCTTTTGAGTAATTCTATAATTGCTATTTGCTAATTGCTATACTGGTTGCAATTTCTAAATGATTTTTCTTACTTTGCATATAATTTGCAATGTTAAACGTCTCTCCAATAATCACCAGCATGAAGACAAGTAGTCAGGGCCAGTTTACAAACCACTTCGGTGTGGCTTTAAAAGTAGGAGAAAATACGCTGCCAACATTTCTTTGATGTAGGCCCGCATTAAATAAACCAGGGGTCCCCAACCGCCGGTCCGCGGACCGGTACCGGTCCGCCGGGCATTTGGTACCGGGCCGCACAGAAAGAACTTGCCTTAATTCCGTTTTATTTATTTCGGAATACGAAAGATGTTTTATTTTGAAAACTTACCGGATTCTCCGTTACATCCGTCTGTGTCCAGCTTGACACACGTCAAGCCACGCTTCTCCGTAACGCGACCAATTAGGCTAAAAACAAACACCGGAGCTCGCAAAATGAGTAAAAAAACTGCTGGAGATCGCAAATGACGGCGGCCTTAAAAGTACGTTCGAGACAACTGGATTAAAGTTATGTCTGAATACTCTGAGATCGCCACAATAGCACTTTTGCTATTTCCGACATCCTACCTGTGTGAGGCGGGGGGATTATGCAGCAACGGCGACGAAAACAAAATTACGAAGTAGACTGGACATAAACCACACACTTGCGGTGTCATTGTCTCTCCTATTACCCCGAGATGGGACCGTCTGGTTGCAGAAAATCAAGCTCGGTGCTGTGGTGAGTCGTCATTTTCATGCACTTTGAATTTGCGTTGTATCGTATTTTGAAGGCATTAAACATTGCCATAGTGATTGGAGTGTTGCGGCCAGATTAGACGCTCCTTGTGTTTATTATTATATTTCGAAAACACCACAGTTTTCATGCAGCTCATACCATATTATTTTGTTGTATTATTTCCGCCACACCTTAAATGCCGGTCCCTGAAAATATTGTCTGACATAAACCGGTCCGTGGGGCAAAAAAGGTTGGGGACCCCTGAAATAAACGATTCTTACCAACGTACCATCAATTGGTTACAATCTTGAATAATACTGTGATCTTTTTTGCAGAAAGTATGACATCACTGGATCATTGTTCATCAATGTTATTCTTTCTGTTTCATTGGAAATTGCAGGAGGAGAAGATTGTATCAGATAGCAATAACAGTGCCTCTCAAAATGACTCCTCTTGGAAAGCTGGTAGTAATAGCTACGTCTTGATGAGAGCCTCTCAAGTTTCCTCTGAGTTTAATCCAGGGGACCAAAGCTACTTGCGTCTCTCATTGGGCCAGTTTTTTGAGCAACGCTCTGAAGCTCTCGGGTGTCTCGGCAGTGGTAACAACGTGGATGGGATTAAACGGGTGAGTGATAGAGAAATGCTGTCATGTCTTATCAAGAGCTATTTTTTACAGTGTCCACTCCCTGAAGACTTGAGAAGTTAATTTAAGAAAGGTTTTCTGTTCCTTGCAAGTTGTTAATGTGACACAATACTGTCATTACAGCGAGCAACCACATGCTTCTTTCTTTTTAGCTTGACCCTTTCATGCAATGTGATGTAACTTATTTTATGTTTCTTCAACACCTATAGCCATCTTTTGGATACACTATTACCTCTCCAGAGAAGAGGGAGCCATTTGCACTAATTCACCCCTGTGACTTCTCAAGTGAAGGGAGCTCTCCTCACAGTGACTCCATTGAAGTCAATGAAACGGATAAAACACTAAATCCTGGTCAGTAATAACTTGATGCTTCAATGAATATACAACCTTTCACAAACCTTAAGGTCCAAAAGATGAAAGATGAATGACGACATTGAAGTCTTGACAATGTTCTCCGATTTATATCAATATGTTTACAGATGATCTGGACAAAACAGTTGAGGTATCTGGGGAAAGGGCATCACCAAAAGGGAACACAGAACCTGGCACTTGTGAAGAGAAGGTAAAAATCATCTTGTTGATATTTAAATGTTTGTGGGAGTCAGCATGCTGCACAACTCGTTGGTTGCTTGCATGCAAATAGAAACCTGTTGAAATCTGCGAATTAGTTGTTACTTTCGATCATGACTCTATTGTATTTTCCATTAGTCATTGGCTCTCACTGGGTAAATGAGTTGGCATCATCATAAAATGTGCCTTTTTTTTAGGACCATAATGGCCTTGAAGCTTTGCTTGACTGCACTGAGGGGCTTGCCTCTGCACCAAATACGCAGAGTCAGAGCAATGCGTCACCACAAACTAACAGTAGCAATCTTATGTTAAGTATCAGCACAATTGCATCAGCCATTGCTGATGCTTCCATCAGTACTGACACGTCACAGCTGGCTGCCATGATTATGGAGCTGTCCAAGAAAAGTAGAGCGAGGAATGGGACAGAGTCCTCGAAATCTGCGGGACCTGGTAAATTCGTCGTGGAACCTTGTCCAGATGAAAATGTAAGGTTTTTTGATATACCCGTATATATTTTTTAATTTACTAAAACATTACACAACAACACTGTTTTTTTTAATAATTGTATTTTTTTGTAATGATTGATTGTTGGTTATATTTACACTTAAAATTTATGACCATATATTTTGTAATACTTTTTTTTTTTTTTTTTTTACACTAACTTTTTTTGCCCGTTTTGAAAATTACATCAATGAATTACGTTATTGTGGTTTAATTGACATACAGTATTTGAATTGTAGTAGCTGATTGTACATCAACAAGGTAAAGAATCCAAATTAAACAGCATTTTGTTGCATTTACTTATTGCAAATATATAACCATATTTTTGTTATTATTTTATCTCCCATTAGCGCAGCACTGGTGAAGATCAGAATGGCTTGTCGGTCACCCTGCAAAGAAGTACCTGTGTTGAAGACCAGGGTGCCTTCGACATCGAGAAATACTTACAGAATAACATGTCTGGCTGCAGTGACACATCAGTAGCACATAAAACCTTTGACCTCACAGGCTGGGCTGATGGCATCAGCCGATATCGAAAGAACCAGCCCGGATATGTTGAAGAACAAAGTTCAGCTAAACAAATGGATAGTATAACAGACTCCAAAAAAGAGGCAGAAGTCACAAGAGGAGACCGACCATTAAAGACTGGCTCTTCTACAATATCTGACACACATACATTATCATCTGCTGACAAGGCTGGTCTAAAAAGAAGCTCCATCCCTCATCTTCATTCATCAGTCAACACTTGGGACTCGAAGAAATCTTCAACTCACACTGGCCTTGCAGAGAAAAATGGCACATGTGACAACACCGCTTGTCAAACTGCAAACACTAGTAGTTTCTCAGCAAGAACATCATCAGAATCTGGAAGTAAGTTTGAAGAGTTAAATCCCCAAGTATCCTATGTCGGGTGCTCCTCAGAGACCTATCAGAGTGTTCGTTTAGGCACTTCTTCCTCCCCAGGATGGAACAAACACCAATCCTATCTTCCCTGTCATAAAGGTTCTGTCCAGCAGGAGGAGGGTGTTAGACAGAGTAACTCTCCAGGCAAGCAAACGCCACCGGAAAACCTCATGGCTGCTCCACTCTCTCATTGCTCTGTGGAAAAACAGGTTGGCTTCTCCTTTCAAAATCCTCAGTCCTCAGGCGACTGCGCATCCGGTGAGTAGAGGTTTGTGTATAAATAATAAGGATGGTCTGTTTGTTTGTGAGCCCTCCATTAATTATAAACAAGGCTATTGTAAATCAACTAAATCTGTGACATCATTTGTTTACAGACCTGCCAACAGATCCCTGTGTGGAGGAGATGCAGTGTAACTTCAGGCCCTCCACTTCTCCTCTAACTCACTCCTCTCCCAGTCAGAGCTCCCCACCTGAAGCTAATAGGCACTGTATCCGTTCAAAAGCTGCATAAGTATACTGTTTAGTGAATGTATTGACACGATTATATATTTAAGGATTTATGCAAAAGATTATTTCACCGTTGAATATTTATTTGCATCGAAACCGATGCTTAGAATCAAAAGGTGTAATTGTACCAATCAGAGTGTTTGTTGTTCTCTATTGCCATGCTTAAATAACGTAACTGTCATTGTTTTTCGGATTATAATGTAATAGTTCCAAGAATTAAAAATCTATCAATGACAATTTTGTTTTTTGCCTTACAGTTTTATTTATTACATTGTCTCCTTTGCAGTACTGTGTCTCCTTCGGCAGCCAGTGGAAAACTAACAGGCAAACGTCCAGGTCATGACCTCTCTCCTCATTCTCCCTGCTCCAGCCCCAGTCTCAGCAGGCTCACATACATCTCAATGAATGATGCTACTGTTGTACCGACCCCTGGAAGGCAGAAGGTACCGTAGTAATTATTTATTATACTGTAGATAAAAGTAACCATATTGTATACATTTGTCCACCGGTATCTACATACAGAATTTGTGAAAGCTTTAACCAAATCAACTTCAAGGGAACGCTTTATTCTATCTACAGTGGTAATTCATAGTTACCTTTTTTTCTATTATTGCATCGTCAACATTTGTTCCATTAATTAAAAATAAATTGTTGATTTCACATGGCAAACTAAAAGTATAATTTAATTTGAATTCATTGTAACCTAACAGACCTCTTCGGAAAACATTTCAAGCTATTCAATTCTACATTATAGACATATCTAAACTGTTAAAATCGATACATCAATGTTTTAATATATCATGCCCATTCTGACATCAAATGAAGGTTGACAAGGGAGAAGGACATTTAATTTAGAAAATGGATTACCCTCTTCAACACCTTTTGTTTTGTCCTCCCTCATAATACACTAAACCCGCCTCCCATGGCGTGCTGATGGACACGGATCGACACTGGCCAGTGAGCCTTTCCCACTGCCCAAAAATGCGTGTTTACCCGTGGTTTTGCGGCAGTGGGAAAGGGGTATAATGTGTAGTTGTGTCGTATTTGATGCATTTTTTTTTTTCTCTTTCTTCGCAATGACAAGGGGCGCATTTGTCTGGCAACAAAAGGTTCTAAACATGAAAAATAAATCGCTCACTATCATTTAAGGGTAAATGATATCGTTTATAAATGATCACCTATTCATTCTTAAATATGAACACTTAAACATATTTTATGCTAATGTTTTCCATGTTTATTCTTTTAATAATTTTTTTTCCTCCTCTTAACCCCTCAGAGTGACAGCACCATGGCGCTCAGTACCACAATCATCAGATTTAGTCCAACTCCACCTATGGAACAAGACCCACAGTCTAATGAGAATATTTGCAGCAATTCCAAAAGCCTTGAAGGACTGCATTCGAAAAGTCTGGAACAGCTACCAGCACAGCACAGGAAAAATCCAGAGACCTCGTGTGGTAGCAATAACCTGAGCTGTACCCGAAGCCAGTGTGAACGGAGCAATGGTTGTCCTGGGGATAAAATTGTTGGTCTTTCATCAAATAGCAGGAACTGCAAGAACCTATCTGAGTCCAATGTAATACTCACAAAGATGGACTCCGGCTATATCAGCAATTCACACATTCCACAAAGTGGCACCACAGTAGCTGCTAGCTCTGTTCCATCTTTATTTCCTGGTGGGCTTAGTTTACCTCAGTCCTACTCATCAGTGGGACCACACTATGGGCCCATGACATTTAAGCCTGCATATCATGGCTTGATTGACTACCCCCACCAAGGAGGTATGCAGTCCCTTGTTAACTCCAAACTAACTCAGCAGTACCCTAGACCTGATGCTCAATTAAATCCTGGGGTCTATCATGTGGCAGCAGCAGGAGCCGGTCTCTTCAGTGTACCTTCTTCAGGCATGTATTTTTTTTTTTTTTTTAACTTTGAATGATTTCATTGTTATTTTAACTCTCTTTTCCTTGTTTAAGACTGCCTTTTGTTTCTTTTTATTTTAATTTATGTTTTTAAAGATGTGGCCAATGGTGAGCCAGCAGTACGACCAAGCCATCCCACAGGACAACCTTTGGGGATAGCTAGTGCTGCTGGGTCCTATCACCTTCCTATATCCACTCAGAGCCTTTGTGACAGAGGCATGCTTGGGAAACTCTACAGCCAATATGGTGGAGAACCAATGACAGCAAGTTGTCTCGATGACCTAAGAGGTAAAGGTTAATTTTTAGTGTGATGTGAGAACAAGACGGACCGTATTGCGTATGAATTTATTTCTTCTTCAGTTCAAGTGGTGGTGCCGGAGGAGCTTCAATTTCCTCATGCCTGTTGTGTCGGAATTGCTTCACAAACCTCCCTAAGCATTTTCAACCCCTCTGAACAATGGCAACATGTGTCGATAACAGTTACCAGTCTGGCCATTGATGGAGAAAAGGTACCGGTAGTCATTTTTAGTGAATTACTAAATTTGAATTAACGTTGAAATTGTCCAGAAACTCAAAATCCATATTGCGGTCAACTGAAAATGTCAGAAAACAGTGTCTGTCCCCTGATGGGACTTGGCTGATTTTAATGTCTGTTATAAAGTGAGAAGATAGCACACTGCATTCATACAGTAGTCTTATTTTGTCTTATACCCCAATCACTGCAGGTGGATAGTTTGCCTTACCAATGGCTGATCGTTAAGAACAAGACAATCATTGGCCCCAAAAGTACAGAAGAGCAAAAAGTGTTGTTCATCCCTCCAAAGGCTGGTGTCTACCAGTGTGTCCTCAGTGTTTGCTCTTGGCCTACGTCTGTCAACACAGAACTGGCTGAGAAGGCCAGCATTTTTGCCAGAAGGGTCATGCTGGTTGCCATTGCAGAACGTCCTTCGGTAGAGGTGAGCCAACTATAGAATATCAGTAGTCTCCATTTCATCTTAAAGGGGAAGTCAAGGGGGCCCAAAATTTTCTTTCCAAGAATATGTTCTATGCATCCCCACTAGTCTAAACATGGTATTGTGATTGCTATTTACTTTGTAGAATATGATTTAAGCAGTAAAATCCACCTATTTTTGTGCATCTCAGGGGGAGGCCATTTTGCCAGGCGCAGTCGACTGAAACTAAAATCACAGTTGCTCACAGTTCAGGTAATGAATAATCATGGCTCAGCTTCAGAAAACAGGTGAGCCATGATTGTTCATTACTTCAGCCCTGTCGACAGCATGTGGCAAAATAGCTGCCCACTGAGATGGATGAAAAAGGGTGGATTTTACTGCTTAACTCATATTCCACAAACGCAATAATAATCTACATGCCTGGTTTAGACATGCGTAAAAAACATTACTGTCAAGAAAAAAATGGGTAAGACTTCTCCTTTAACGTAAATGCAACAAGATAAACTATCATCCTCAAGATAAATCATCCATTTTCTTTCTTAGGTTGAAGTAGGTAAATCTGGATGTTTGGATTTTGGAGATTTGCCAGAAGGCAGCTCGAAATCCCTTCTTCTGAAACTTTTCAATATGACCCGAGCCACAGTGCCCATCCGACTTGTCATCAGTGCTGTAAGTCAAAACACAATGCATTTCCATTACTTTAGCACATGCACCCTCATCATCAGCTGCAGGGATATACCTGTAGTCACTTATGGTAGCTATGTGATTCCAGTGTAATGGATACACTCTGCAGCATCTGAGGTTTAGTTGGGAATAATCAGACTAATACTTGAAGAAATGCAAATTAAATTAAAAAAAAAAATGTTGACTCCAAAATAATGGGTAACCTCACATTCTACTTGAATTCTTTCAGAAGGCGACAGCATGGCGTTGCTTCGCAATGTCCAAACAGCATATTTCCTTAACATCAGAGGCAACACAACCAGCAGGTCACATGACCCCACTATCGTCTCCTTTTGTGGTGAATCACGTGTTGCATGCCAACTATGGAGAGGTTAGTCTTGCTGAAAGCTTTTCAACCTTTGTCAGGACTTTTGAATTGATGTGTGGATGGCATGCAATTTTTATTTCTTTCAATGGAAGGCAATGAATCAAAACTTGTAATTAGAATTATGAAAAATAGACTCAAGCAGTTTCACAGAGCAGTACTGTAAAGTTACCTCACCTACCAACTTAGTTTTTTCTGTCCTTCTAGAATCCAGAGTGTTTTATGGTTTGGGTTCACTTCAAGGCTCTCCAAAAGTATACACCGTCAACAGGTACTAGGTCTTGGTTCATTATTTAACTTGTACTTTATGACCCTATTTAAGTGCAAAACACGAATGTATTAATGTGTTTTTAAAGGAGACAAGCACTTTTTTCACAACTTAAAACAGGTGTCTTCATTTTTCTGTTGGGATGCTTTCACCAAAATACCCCAAAGATCCAAAAAATGGTAGAAACCATATTTCTTGCCATGGTGAAATTGGCTTGTTTTAAGGGCAGATTTGTCTCATGCCATGATCCAGGCTTCATACCAACCATATACCGTATTGGCCCGAATATAAGACGGTGTTTTTTGCATTGAAATAAGACTGAAAAAGTGGGGGTCGTCTTATATTCGGGGTCTAGACATTATACCCATTCACGACACTAGATGGTGCCAGATACCATTGAAGCGAATGTTGAACTTGACTCCCCAGGCCAAAGCAAACCCCTGTCACGAAGAAAAAAAAATAAAAATAGCGGTAGCACGAAGAAGAAATATAAAAAATAGCGGTAAGACACAAAAGAGAAGAAAATAATAGAAGAGATAACAGAAAATGGAGAAACGTAGCGACAATCTGGAGAAAAGTGGGTCGAAGATCGGCCAGGTTAACCGGCAGCTGAGAAGTTCTGATGTCATTTACATTTCAAAAACCAGAGGCCATTCATTTACGAATGTGATTGCACTTTAGTTTACATATTTAAATGTTCAGATATTAAGATTTGAATGAGGCAAAATAACATGCTTTTTCTCTCAAAAATATTGTTATAATCATTTGTTTCAGATGTACTGTAATTGTTTTCTGTATAAAAATTAATTTGGTGTTCAAAAAGTCTTTTTTCAAACTTGAGTCTTGAAAAAGAGGGGGTCGTCTTATAATCAGGGCCGTCTTATATTCGGGCCAATACGGTACTGCTGGACCAATCGCGAAGCCTGCTTTCATTTGAATGACAACCACTGGGATGAATTGCGGTGATCAAGTTTTAGTCAAGAACCCTTCTGTGCCTAAAACACAAACCTTTGCACATGTTTGTCAGGGGACTTGGGTCCGGCTGAAGAGTACAGTGCTCGTTTGGATGTAGAAGTGGACTCCCCAAGTGCGAGTCATGTGATCAAAAGTGTTCCCATCAGAGCTAGATCTGGAACTGTGAGGGTACATGCGCCAAAAGATATGCAGGTACTATACTCATGTCGATGATCATTTACTTCACAATTGTATTTTACTGTACATTTCTGTGCCTGACAAAGGCAGATCTAGTAATAAATATACAAATGAACCAGAGGGGGGCGGGCCAGTGATTAGCGCGTCGGCCTCACAGAGCAGAGGTACCGGGTTCAATTCCAGCTCCGGCCTCCCTGTGTGGAGCTTGCATATTCTCCATGGGCCTGCGTGGGTTTTCTCCGGGTACTCCGGTTTCCTCCCACATTCCAAAAACATGCATGGCAGGCTGATTTAACACTCTAACTTGTCCCTAGGTGTGAGTGTTAGCGTGGATGGTTGTTCGTTTCTGTGTGCCCTGCGATTGGCTGGCAACCGGTTCAGGGTGTTCCCCGCCTACTGCCCGAAGATTGCTGGGATAGGCTCCAGCACGCCCCATGACCGTTGTGAAGATAAAGCGGATTGGAAAATGGATGGATGAATCAGAGGGCTGAAGGACGGGGTGCTGCCTGAATGGGATGAAATATATTTTGCAGTGGTTTATTAGAGAGATGTGGGTTTGCGTCTTGGGTAATGTGGATGTGGATTTCTCTTAACAAATTAGAATACAGGCCCCAGTTGTCAAAGGTTATACTGTTCCTTGAAATGTATGGCTGTAATGAAAAACATACCCAACTATTGTCATTCTAGTTGATTGGCCCCCCCTTTCCCTAATTGTTTTCGAATTTTGGACCATCTGACATCCTCTAGCACTTTTTTTGAACATATTGTTTCTCACTAAAGCAAGAATGAGTCTGTCTGTTAATTTGATATTCGTAAGACAGTTGCCATTTTTTTTCTTAGAATAAATTTAATTTCGTTTTACGGATGCATTGGTATCAACGTTGATACAGTATGTTTTGTTACAGACTCTCTACCTGCGTGCTCCACTGGGTAGATCTTGTCAAACGACACTGCCGTTAAAGAATGCAGGAAATATTGATGTGTGGATGAAACTCAGGGTAATTATAATATTTTACTTCTTTGGGGGATTATATTCTTTACTTCTCTTATTAAAGCAGAACTTTTGATAAGGCTCTGGCATTTTGTGCTGTTTGTTTGCATGAAATCCAATTAGAAAGTTTTCCTTTTTTTTTTTTTAAAAAATAGGTGTTTACTAAGGTTTTTTTGTGACTATGCTACCCGGCATTGAAGTTACTGTGTTGTATCACCTTCTTCTTGCTCTTTTTAATAGTGCAATGATGTAGAGGACTGTTTCTCAGTGACACCTGATGAGCTGTTCCTCACAGTGGGAGAGGAGCAAGGCATTGTGGTCTCATTTAAAGCATGGGGTGCCAAGAAATACAAAGCAAGGTACACACAATATTCAGTTTTGCGAAATTGTTCAACACAGGTGTTTTTGTTCCTCAATGTCAGGTTTTTTTGTATTCCAGCCTTCTCACTATCTTGGTGCTGCCATCAGGGCCCCAGTATGAAGTAAAATTAAAAGGAGAGGTTGTGTCTGAAGAATCTGGCAAACCTGATGCCTCCGCGACTCCTGTCCTTAATTTTTGTCTGGACAGTGATGTTCCACCAATTCTCTCTAACAAGCAGTTTGTGGCCTGGGGAGGTGTCACCTTGGGGCGAGCAGTGTAAGGAACTTCATAGCTTTTTATTTTATTTACAAATATGTGATGACTGTTCATTGAATAATTGATATTCTGAAATATTGAATGATAATTTAATCATTAGAATAAACTTTTTTTTCCAGTCAGCAGAAACTGGTTCTAAGAAACAATTCGTCCAGTACCACTCAGCAGCTTCGGTTACTTATTCGTGGTCAAGACCAGGACTGTTTTCAGGTAAGTTAACAGAAATTATTGTCTAAATCTAAATAATAGCCAAGACACACACACAGTGTACATTGAGAAAAGCGCTTTTTTTTTTTTTTTTTTGGAGCGGGGGGGTGTAACTGTACGGCCCGGTGGTTGCGTCGACCTCACAGTGCAAAGGTCGTGAGTTCGATCCCGGCTCCGGCCTTCCTGTGTGGAGTTGGCATGTTCTGCCCAGGCCTGCGTGGGTTTTCTTCGGGTACTCCAGTTTCCTCCCACATTCCAAAATCATGCATGGCAGGGTGATTGAACACTCAAAATTGTCCCTGATTGTGAGTGTGAGCGCAGATGGTTGTTCGTTTCTATGTACCCTGTGATTGGCTGGCAACCAGTTCAGGGTGTCCCCCACCTACTGCGCAAAGACTGCTGGGATAGGCTCCAGCACCGCCCGCGACCCTTGTGAGGATACAGCGGATCAGAAAATGGATGGATGGGTGGTTGTAAATGTTTAACTTATGACAGCCTCCTGTCCAACATTCTATACATAAACAAATTGAAGTACTTGCATGTTGAATGAATGAGGTGTCTCAAATACTGTACCGCTTTGAGAGATTCACCAATGCCCAATACACACAGCGGTCTTGTGGCTGCCTGGCCTGGATTCATCTTTACTTGCGGGGATGGATGCACATGCCTAGGTTAACTATTTTATGTAAAGTTACCTTCGTAAATTGGGCCATATGAGATTTGTATGATTGTCAACTATATTGTAATCATGTACACTTATGACTGTGTCTCTCAGCTGCAGAGTTTGTTTAGTCCAGAAGAGCGATTGACTCGGCACGGTGAGCTGTCCATTCGCCCACAAGAGGATGTAACCGTCCACCTCCTCTTTGCGCCGACAAGGGTGGCCTGCATGTTATCCAAGTTGGTGATAAAACAGTCTGGATTCCGGCCATCACAACCAGGGGTCAAATTTACTGTGAGATTTTTTCTTTTTCCTGACCATTTTTCAAAATTTTGAATCTGTGATTATTAGTCCTGCCAAGTTTACGATTGAGAAACTTGAGTTATGGACACATTCTGTTCCTTTTTTTGTTCAGATTCCACTCTCAGGCTATGGTGGCACCAGCAATATAATTCTGGAAGACCAGAAGAAGGAGGCAGATGGCTATGTGGCCACCATGTCAGACATTGCTCTTAATCACGTTAGCAAGGTGTGCCTCTGTGTCAGAAACACCGGTTCCAGAGCAGCTTTTGTTAAAGCTGTGGCCTTCTCTGATGTAAATCTTCGATCAGTTATGGACACTTTTGTCATTCGCCTTGCCCCATCACAGTTTGTACTTAAGGAAAGGACACAAGAGGTAGGAGAGAGGGACAACAGCCATTCTGATATTGGCGGTGGGAAAACTAATATAGCTCTGATGTATGTTTTTTTTTTTTTTTTAAACCTCAGGTGATCACAGTGCTGATGAAGTCTACTCAAAGAGAGCAAACTCTGTGTCAGTCGGAGACGCCTCTGCTGGCTACTATTGTTCTTTTTTGTGGAGATGAGGTCTCGAGGCAACAGTACCGGAGGTAATGTTTTTGTATTACACTAGCTTGATCTTTCAAAAGAGAAAGTAACAAATTACATTGTGCAGCACTGCTTTCAAGATTGCAAACGCTAATGAATGTCATATTGTGTAAAGATTCATCTTAGTGTTTTTTTTTTCTCCCGCTCTCTTTCAGGCTGCTTCAAAGCAAACCAAATGCTGGGCAAAAAGTTCTTGCTGAAAACAGTTTGCTAAAAAACATTGAATTCAATGAGAGGTTCTTGGGAGAGGAGATCATTACAGAGTGTAAGGTGTCTCACAAGAAATAACAAAAATAACTGTAATCAACCTGCCTTTACTCCATACTGGATAAGCCTTGGCTTGTGATCTGTCGCAAGTAAATTAAACTTAATGAAGCTTACTTACTAGTTGTCAAATATAAGGTAGACATTATGTAAGAGAGGGGTATTTTTGTTCTATAGTACCTAGTACACAGGAGTATACTATGAGAATTTGTCCTTTAAGATCACTAAAATTCATCCATCCATTTTCGAATCCACTTATTCCCACGAGGGTCGCGGGCCAACTGCAGCCTATTCCTGCTGTCTTTGGACAGTAGGCGGGGTACACCCTGAACTGGTTGCCACCCAATTATAGGGCACACAGAGACAAACAACTATTCACGCTCACAATCAATTAACCTACGGTGCATGTTTTTGGAATGTGGGAGGAAACCAGAGTACCTAGGGAAAACCCACGCAGGCACAGAGAGAACATGGAAACTCCACACAAGGCGGCCAGAGCCAGGAATCAAATCCTGCACCTCTGCATTGTGAGGCAGATGTGCTAAACCAGTCGAGCATTGCGGTGCCCGACCACTGAAATAAAAACCAAATAAGATATTTCTGAAATAAATATATTGCAATACATGCTCTGAACTCTGAATGACTGGGCTCTGTCAAATTGACTTATGTTACTTTTTCATAGCGTTTGACCTGCCACAGCGGCCAAATGAGGCCTACATCTTCTACGGACACATAAGTAAAGTGGCAGTGTCATTACTTGGAAGTACGTATAGCAGGCCGTGTGAGCAGAGCAACAGCTCTGAAATGATGCTGACCATGGCTAGAGAAGACTTGCGAAATGACAGGTAATACCCTACTTAAAAATGTAATCATAGTGCATTTATAGTGTTACCAGTAAGCCTGTCACAATCAACTACCGGTATTTAGGACGATATTTTCCCAGAAACTATCATGATAAATTGTGTTTTTTTGGTGTTGTTGATTTGTTTGTTTTTTTAATGTCACTGATATATTGATATTAGACAAAAAAATAGCACCCAGTTTAAGAGCAGTTATCTTTTAATTATCAGGAATATTGAACATTTGCATTGAAATGCAGAACAATAAAATATCTTAGATGAAAATATAATTCAAAATGACTCGGGCTCTGTTAAAAACACAGTACTTTAACAAATATTAACACAACACATACAACCACACGCTAACTGTAGTATTGTATGATGGCAGAGTAAAATGTCTTTTATCTCCTTCATGTGGTTGCCCAAGGCTGGAATGGCTGTTTGGGAACCCCCCCCCCCCCAGTTCGGGGGGAGGGGGCAGTTTGGACTGCCTATTAAAAGTCTGCAATCAGGTTAAATGTTAAAGAATGATCACAGGATCTATTTGCATCCATTATCATTACCGGTACTCTCGATTGTGCATTATTTTTAATATTATTCATCAGAAATATTTCTATGCCCGCAGTGTATATACAGACTCAGTGTGCTGGTCTCTCCGTCAATTCTGGCCCTTGAAACAGATATCGGGTACACCTTTCGCCAGTCTCTTAAAGTTGGTCGTACTGAAGGTTCACCGAACCGATAATCTATAATCAAGCGATGAAATAGTGTAGAGGAAGAGGATTGTATGGTGGTGCCGGCTAACATTCGCGCTACCATTGGTGCTTCTGTACACAACTTAAATGAGAGAGTCACGGCTGCCAATGTGTCGATCCAACACTTGCCAACCGAACTGAAACAGTCGAACTGAATAGTTTTTCAAAATCCGTTCAATCCCTTGTGTCAGTGTACTGTATCTATTAAATTAGCAATAGCATAGAAGACACAGCGTAAGGTGGCTGTGCTATTTACAATGGTTGCAGGTTTTCACATATGTTTATTCAGCAGCCTCATGTGCGCGAGTGCCGACTCCCACAGCGGCGAGCAATGTGACAGACAGGAGAGGCAAGCAGCAGTGCAAATGAATGTTGACTAAGCCTGTAAAGGAACACTCACGTAAATGATCATTTATTGGGTCTCGAAAAGAACTCCAGTGTCTGTTTTTATTAATCGAACGATAAGTCGATATAGTAATTATTGTGACAGGCCTAGTTAGCTGTATTTTTGTGCAGCTTCTAACTTTCAGATCTTCTGTGTTGTTGTTGTTTTTGTAATCGTTGCTAGTGATGTGGCGAATGGTAATGTGTCTTTGGACGTGCTGCCAGTGAAGGGTCCCCAAGGTTCGGCAATTAGAGTGACAGGGTCCCCCATAAAGGTACCATAAACGTCTATGATCATAATCAGTAATTTTATGTTATCATTTGGATTATGACTCTTTTTAATGCTTCGAACTAGAATAATAAAAAAAAATACATCCTCCGGATACCCAGCCTATTTATTTATGTCCACTCTAGTGGACGTTAGATTGTGGTATCTATCTTTTGACTTATTTGAACTATGCTGCTAAATCCTGGTTTACTCAGTATGACATTCTGGCCTTTCCCGTTATACAGTATTTCTTGTGTTTGGGTGGGTTCAAAAGAACTTTGCTTTCTTGCTGAGATAAAATTAAGACTTCAGCAAAACACAAATGTCAGGAAAAGAGTAATATTTTTAAGATATTGCTTTTTTTAGCAATGCCAATAATTACAGAAGACATGCCATAAATCCTTAAGTAAAAATATCGATGAAATTTAAATTGAGTTGTTGATTTAGCTCCAATGAGGCAGGAAATTACTAAAACATGGAATATACTTGTTTTCCCATCTGTCTCAGGATGATACATGTATTTTTTTTATCTCTTTTGTTTTAGACCACAGAGCCATCATCGAGAGAGTGTGAGTCATGGACTCTCCATCCAGAACAGCTTCTCCTCGCAGCTCCCACTATGAGTAAGTGGTCTCAAGATTATGAAAACGCGTTCATCCGCTTGTGAATAATGAAATAATTAATTGTGAAGAATGGAGAAGTTATGGAAATTGAAAATCCATTTATAAAGTTCTGGAAGTATTGCGTAGATAGGGGAAATCAGGAGAAAGAATTCCTAAGTACTCCGAAAAGCACTTTGTTTTCATTTTTTATTGCTCTGTGATGGCGAGAGGTCAGGTGGTTCATTTGTTAGCATATAAAGACATATCTTGAGTTTGATTTTTGTTTGTGTATGTGTATACATACAGTACTGTATACCGGTATACACATTTGTGTTCATATACATATGCGTGTATGAGTTGAGTATATATTTTGAAATTTGTGAACAAATTATGTGATTGGTCATTTTAGATGCTGTGGCAACCACAAATCAGGTCCAGATCAAGAACAATACCTCCAGAGAGTTAAGTTTTGATTTGTCCTGGCCTGCTCATTACCTGACCATTACCCCTCAGCATGGAGTCATCGAGCCACAGTAAGAGTAAATGGATTGCAATCAAATTATTTTGACTTTCGAGAAATATTGTCAAGTTATATTGTCTACCAAAAAATTTCTGTGACTGGATTTTACAATGAACTGTTTTGAATTCAATTTATGTCCAACTATACATTCACAGAATACAATGTATGCATATTCAATTTATGTCCAACTATACATTCACAGAATACTTTAAAGATGCATGCAAAATGTTCTCAAAAATAATGAATACGGTAATCAGTGTGCAAAAATTTTAAAACAGATAGTACCAGTCAAAATTTTGCATTTTTGTAAAGGCCTTTTTGATGCAGTTTAGTTACAGTACTGTCAGTACGATCATCTATCTGGCGAGTGTATGCCTGTACTATACTTGCAGCAATGCTAAAGGGTTAACTATAGGTATGTGTCTTACTACTAACATTTTTAGGTGTCACCTGCAGATTTTGATCAGCCCTAACCCTTCGCTTGCAAACAAATCTGACATCCTCCCTTGGAACGGGAAGATATATGTCCAGTGTGATGGGCAACAAAAGGTACAGGAGTTTAACAAAAAATCCAATCAAGAAACCATGTCTTGTGTTTGAAAAATCATTTAAAAAGACAAACTTATTTGCAGCTGATTAAGGTCCAGATCCGTCGAGATTTGGCACTGGATGTTTCCGCTGCCCTAGCTGATGCAACTCTGTCAGCCCTATCCCCTCAGGCTGCCACCCCTGTGTTGCCTCCGGTCAGAATCACCTCAAAGTCCGTGCTACCCGTGACACCACTGCAGTTACCTCACGCTCTAGTTGAGATCAACAACAAAAACATCATCTTTCCCAACACACCTTCAGGAGAAACATCAGGTGGGGATACCACTGTCCCGTCCTGAAATTAATCTCAGCATTTACAGCAGGGGTGTCCAAACTCGGTCCTCAAGGGCCGCTGTCCTGCCTCTTTTCCAGCCCTCCCATGAGCAACGCAGCCTTTTCAAATCATCAGGATCGTTCTAATTCTGCTTCAGAGCTGCCTGGTGAGCTGATCATTTGAATCAGGTGTGTTGCAGACGGGAGAGATGGAAAATAGGCAGGACAGTGGCCCTCCAGGCCCGGAGCTGGACATGTTGGATTTACAGTATCTGTATGTAATAGACTATGTACACTCCTGCAACCATATTCTGCAGGACATTTTATAATTGGGATCTGAAGTTGTAATGTGGCAACGGCCTGTATTGTATCTCTCTTCGTGCATTCTAGAGGCCATGTTGGAGGTGGAGAATGGAGAAATGGAAGTGAGGTGGTACATATCATCGTTTGCCCCTCCTTACGTGAAGGTGATACTTTTCTTTAATAGCTCAACACTATTTTTTCTCTCTTCAGTTTAATTGTGTTTTCCTCTATTCTTTGTTGTTTTACACAGTGGAACCTAGAAAGTCAAATGCCCAAAAATAACTACATTTTGCTCAGTACAATATGTATAATACAATGAGTGTAATGCTATTTACAAAATTACTTTTGTCGATAAGTTGGTCACATAAATACCATGTAACTCAGTGTCATGGCTAATGTCAAGCCTTAGGAGACCGAAACCCGGAACACAGAAAAAAATACTCTTAAAAAAAACCTAAAATAAATCCCTTATATAAATGTTATTTTTAATGAAAAATAATTTTAATAATTTGAAAACTACATTGAATATCACATTGAAAATGTCAACAGAAAATAATATTAAGGCTTTCTTTTAATAACTTAATATTATGTATGAATGTAAAGTAATAAAAATGGAGTAAAATATAGCAAATAAAGTTATGCAATGACGAAGTCTACATTCGCACTGTAGGACGTGATGCCAGATTCAGATTTTTTTGGATCAGCGTTCATACTGCAGACACATTGGGCATACATATATGCATGCATATCGGATTGAAATCCACATCAGGCCCAGGTTTATTGTGAAAAAAAATTACATTTGTACTGCATACACCGCATGAAAAAAGTCTGATACATGTCACATATGGGAATTGAGCTACAATGTGAACAAAGCGTATTAAGCTGTACATAAGTTATTTTGGTGCCATGCATCTAAAACTCGAGCTGGGAAAGAAGAAAGGCTGCATTGAGTTGTTCAAATACATAGTATGGAACAAATCTATCACATTTGCATTTGATAAAATTAGCATTGGAAATGAAGGAAAGTATGCGCTATCATGGCATGCCAGAGTAACATCAAGAGAGCCCTTAAAATGTGTCTGGAAGTGGACCAATATACTTAAAAATCACAGCATAGCAAAATGTATTACTTTCCATATAAATAATATATATTTGGCCGATTTTCAGTGGCTTAATTTTCAGTGCATCCGTAGATACTTGGTTAACCTTCTTTCTTTCCTCAGGGGGTTGATAACAGTTGCGATGTATATCGGGCCACCTACACAGCTTTCAGGTGTTCAAGAATCTCAGGCACTTTGGGAGCCCATGAGAAGATGCAGGTAATCACTATATAAGTCATTAAATCACTTGCATTTTACGACACCTCAACATTTGTTAAGATTGGAGTTTCTGTTGCTATTGTCACGGTTACATACTGTTTGCAAAGAATTGGAAACAATAGGACACAAGGTATAATTTCTGACGCAGTTGTAAGGAACGCTTGAGTACGGCTCTGTTGATATTGTTTTATTTTTACCGCAGTTTCTTTCAAGTACATTTTATTTTTGATGTAAAATGTATGCAGAGAGGCAAAATGCTTTCAATCCATAAACAAATGCTGTAAAAAAACAAATACTGTAATCCTTGATTTTAATCTGAAAAGGATAATGCAAAGTTTGTATTCTGTTATTTAGTGATTGAGATTTCTCATTAAGTGTGTTATAGCTGAAAATTAAGGAAGTTAGTTACACACATTGTGCTAGGTTTTTGATTCTCAAGTATACCTAGTAAATTGATAGCCTCATAGCGTAATTGTCCAGGTCATTTTTAATTTGTTTCACAATATTAATAGACAATACCAATGTAGTAGAAGAGTTAAATATTAATAAAATCGTTTTTCCTTGTTCTCTGAAAAGGTTCAAAAGGCGGACTTTGGCAACTATGCAATTTGGTGGACGATAAGGATTTATTCTGTTCTCTTGCAGGTGCCTATTGCATTTTTGCCAAGGGACAGAGGCGACTATGCTCAGTTTTGGGATTTGGAGTGCCATCCCTTGTCTGAGCCCTTGCAGAAATCTAGAATCCGCTTTCAACTATGTGGCACGGTGATTGTTTATCAATTTGTAGTCTTGTTTATACTATACTATGACTCTGGGGTTCTCAACTGGTCTCATTCCGTGACCCGCACATTACAAAGAGAAAATCAATAGCAGTTAATCTCAACTCAATCATTGAAAACTTAAAAATGTTATGATTATACAGTATTCACAGTAGTTAGTAAAATATTAGTTTGGCCATCGTTATGAACATAAATCGCCATTTTGAGTATTAAACCATGTTAAATAGGAAAGTGGTGGTTCTACTCTACTGACAGAAGTTTAGCAGGTGATGAAATGTGTTGCAGTAGGGTGCCAAATCTTTCAGTTATACATCCATCAGTTTCACATGTTTAGATATTTTCAGCAATAAAAGTTAACATTTTTTCGATGCAGTAATTATGATAACTTCATTATTTTTCATTTAATAACTTCAAAAACTGTTTTAAAATAATATTGCATTGAAAGAATGAAGTCATATTATTTCCAGCCAATGCTATGTAACATTTCTACCGAGTGATATTCCACTTTTGATGTGAAAGAGCACCGGATGGTCTTTTAATGGCACAGAATACACTTTGGGGAACATGATGCTTGTTTGCGCGCGCCCCACAAACGGATTGACAATGCCTGGAGTACAGAATGTCCTCCGATCTTACTCACATGAAGAACAGAGTGCTGCTTTGGTCTGGTGTCTCACTGGCTTCATAACGAGCGTAGCTCCGCTCACATTTGGGACATAATGAGCCACAAGCCACGGCCTGTCGCTGCACCACGTATAGCGGTGGGAGAGGAACCACAAATCCTCCTGCAGTAAAGCTCATCTCTCACCTCTCGCTCATTAAAAATACTCAGCATGGCGTTCGTTTTTAATGTCTCCTATGTGCCGTGTGTGTAAATTACTCCTTCGTCACCCTGAAGTGCTCACTGCACACGTACGCGTTCCTGCACACTGGGGCTCCAGAAATCGAAAGTACACTTTTTGTAAAACTTGTTGATGAACATGCCAGTGTGCACCTTCTTTGCTGTTTCTGATAGACCCCTTGCACATTTTTGCTCTGCATTATGGAACTGCTTTCCTTTGTGTTCTCATCATTGTATGTACAAAAGTCAGCCGTTAGAACCACAACACTGCCAATTAATGTCTAAATATATCTATGGGTGTATAGTGACACTGGCAAAAGGTGTGAAAGAATTCGTTACATTTTACCTGGTAATTAAATGGTAGCAGTATCTCTCTACCTATTTTATTAGTCTGCAATATTGACATTGGAAGGAATTAATCCTACGTATACTATATCTCTGTCTGTAGGGGATCAACTCTGGACCAATAGAAGGACATCAGGAAGGAGATCGCTCCTTGGTAAAAACAGAGGCCACAGTTAAGACAAGGAAGAAAACTGAAATGGCCAAGGCTAAAGCCAGGTACCTGTAGGAGCTACTTTGATCATCCAGTTCAGATTAATGTCAAAAGACATACCGTATCCATCCATTATCCGATCAGCTTATCCTCACGAAGGTCGCGGACATGCTGGAGCCTACCCCAGCTGTCTTTGGTCAGTGGGCGGGGTACACCCTAAACTCGTTAGCCAGCCAATCGCAGGACCTAGAGTATGCCAAGCGGCCAAAACTGAATTCACAGTTGCTCACGGTTGAGGTAACAACTAATTACGGTTCAGCTTGCGGATGTCATGTACTGTATGACCAAACTCAGAAAACAGGTGAGCTGTGATTGGATGTTACCTGAGCCCTGAACCACTGTCATGTCATTTTCACTTGACAGCAAGTGGCAAGATGGCCACCCCCTTAGATGGATAAAAACAGGTGGATTTTGCTGCATAATTCATAATCACAATCACTGTGTTTAGATGGTCAATGCAAATAAACATTTATGGTGCACTGTTAAAAGAGCAACTTTATTTTTCTGTACATTGCGTACATAGTGTAATGTGCAGTTAGTTTTACTTATTTTAAATAAGTAAAAAAAAAAAAATCAATAGTTGTCAGTAATGAACGATATGAAATACTTAAATTGTGAAACATTTTTCTGTCTTATCACCCAGCTATACTAAGCTCATTATGTTTTTAAAAAAATGTTTATTGAATCTTTATATAGACGACTGCATTTTTCAGTTTTTGACCTCTTATTAAAACCTAAATTAACTTTTTTTTTTACATATTGTTTAAGAGTAGCGTAGTCAAAACATTGATGTCTAACGAATAACTGTGATTAATGATCACAGTATTAATCAAAATAATAATCGTGATTATAATTTTGGCCATAATTTGTGCAGCCCTAAAATACTATAAAGTGGCAGTATTCACTAAGATTTTTACATGTTGGTGCACTCAGGTGGAATTCCCCCACCTCCAAAATGACATGGGTATAAAAAAGAAAAAAAAATCTATCTTGAGTTTGCAAATTCCGCTTTGTTCATATTGGTATAATACCGTATACTCTACCTCTGTCTAATCTATGATTATTGATTCAGGTATTTGTAAGGTTCTTCCAACCGAACTATGCCTATTTAACTTTCAGCCAGGATGAAGCAGTATGGAGGGGTGTTTATACACCTCAGGATTGTTACGCTTTCCCTGATACGCATATCGGCGAGTTCAGCACTCTGAAGGTCAACATTCGCAACAACTCATCCAACACACATGAGGTGAGGACTGCCCCAAACTAACGACAGCCTCCTGCCATATTTAGCTTTTTGTTTTAAAACAGAAAGTTTATCACTGTACAGTTGTTGGAATTTCATGCTCACAAAAATAACATGACTAACCTGTTTCTGCAGGTTGCTTTTATGAATGCAGTAAATGTACTAAACAGTTACAACGGTTGTGTTTTGCACGGATTTGACTTTTGATGTGTGGCTTTTCAAATTGACTTGCAGCTGAGGTTTGTAAACCCTAGGGAGCCCTTCCACATCAAGCATTCCAAATATTCCCTGAGGTGAGTCAACTGGTCATAATCACTGACTGAAAAGCATTTTCCTTCTGAGGTTAACTTTCGTATTTCGTTCAAAAGATGGTCAACATTTTGATTTGAGCTGACCTCATCAGAAGAGTCTTTTGTTGAACAACTTTTATGGCACGTACATTTCTTAGCGCTTTAAACAATTGGTGGATACCTGGTGCGATGAATTATGGCCATCTACTGTACAACAATGTATTTTCTGTTCTTTCAAAACTTCTGTATAAACTAGAACATACAAATGTAGACACAGTATATTTATTCATCTTATTAGTTCTCATGCACATTGAACCTTCTGATGTGAAATCCATGCCATTTTAATCCACATGTTTCCGTGTGTAAATATATGTCAATGTTAAGATCAGAGTTATTTGTGACAGAACCAGTGTTGGGCATGTAAAAAAAAGAAAAAAGGTAATTACTAGTTATCGTTCCAAATTACTTCTTCCAAAGGTATGTTAGTAACTCAGTTACTGTCTTGTAAAGCTAATTAGTTACTCAGCAAAATATTTTTCTATTATGTTCTGTCTATCATGTAAAAGGTCTTTATCATAGCTGAATGAAGGAAAAAAAACACAATATGCGTATATTAGAACGGAATCTGTCTAACTGCCGGCATTGGGGACCAAACCCTGACATTGGTGGTACAGAGTCTCTCCATCGAACAGCCCGTACTAGGGCATCCGACGCCCCATAATCCTAGAGTACCCCCCACAAGATACCCCGGTTTACAAGGTCAAACACCCTTGTCCAAGTCCACAAAGCACATGTAGTCTCATTGGGTGAACTCCCATGCACCCTTGAGGACACTGCCAAGGCTGAAGAGCTGGTCCACCCTTTCCACGGGCAAGACGAAAACCACACTACCCCTCCTGAATCTGAGATTCGACCTCCCGATGGACCCTCCTCTCTAGCACCACTGAATAGACCTTACCATGGAAGCTGAGGAGTGAGTGAATCAGCGAGTCCCTCCGGTCCCGCTTCTTAAAAAGAGGGTCCACCACGTGAGACACTGTCCCTGATGTTATATTATCCCCACCGTCTCGTGTCGTCTTGAGTTGAGGTCAGCAGTGCCCCATCTCCCCTATACGTGGTGTTAATCATGCACTGCTTGCTCCTCCTGAGATGCCGGATGGTGGACGAGAATTTCCTTGAAGCTGTCCGTAAATAGTCTTTCATGTCCTCGCCGAAACTCTTCCCATGCTTGAGTTTTTGCCTCAGCGACCAGTGTTCTGATTGGTCAGCTGCCTCCGGCGTACCACAGGCCAAAGGGCCCAATAAGACTACTTCAGCCTTACTGCCGGTGAAATCGAAAGTATCAAAATGAAATATTAAAAATATATATTTACACATTTTGCATTTAAATGCAAAAGTAAGACACATTAATATACTTTAATTATTCTCCGGTCTCATGTACATCTATGAAGAAGGTGGTTTGATTCGTGTAGTGCAAAGTTTGGTTGGTTCTTTATTTCAACCTTGAGATAATGTTGCTTGCCTGGTTGTTGCTTACTCTTGATTTTTTTTCACCCATTAGATCCCAGCACTATCTGAAACTGCCTGTCCAGTTCAAGCCGAGCACTGCAGGCAGACACGCAGGCGTGCTGCTCATCCATTCAGAAACAAGTGGAAGTCTGGATGTGCAGCTGACTGGTGAAGCACTGCCTTGAATTTACCAGCTACCCCCCTCCTTCGCCACATCTTTAGAAGGGACTGTTTGGCTTTTCTTAGGTCGGTCCTGTCTATCAGCACCCTCCTGAAAGCAAAGGTGAAGACTGCCTTGGGCCATTTATGGTGCGCAGCCTGGTAGTTAAGGCTCACTCATGGTCATATTCACACAAACTATGCCAAGATTTGAGGCAAAGAGAAGCTGAGAATTAACTCTGACCTCTATTTCGCTCCATCCGCCCTGGCTGTCCAGCTGAGAAAACCTGTCTCTAAAACTGTGCCTTATGTGCCAGGGGCTTTTTTGTTGTTAGAGTACATTTGTTTCAGCCTATTGATTTTTCTCAGTCGGGACAAATGAAGTGTTATTTAACTTTCATCTGATATGCCAGAAATGTCATGTCACGAGGTGCATTTTTGTTGCCACAGAGGCAGCACTAGTTGAAATACATTGAGGATATGTCTCACATGGGGATGGTCTCACAGGACTGCCTTTGTTCCCAGTATGGCATCATGCCTGCAGGGATGTTCATTTTTGGAGAAGCCACACGTGTTGTAACCCCGCAGACATTAATCAGTGTAAACCAGTCAACTCATAAGGAAACAGCACGTTCAGGATATTTTTTTCCCCTCATTCCTGCAGCCACATTTCAACAGTAGGTCTGTAACCGTTTGGAGTTTTCTGCTTCTTTACTTTCTATGCAAATTGACTGGAAGGGTTCACATGATGCCAAACATCCAAAACCCCCTGTGCATGTGGCCTTTGATACTGAATGTTGTTTACAAAGAAATATTTACGAGATATTCCAAAAGGTCCGCATATATTTAATTCATCCATAATGGTGGTTCAAGGTCAGCTCACTGTGACATTAGTTTGAGTAATGATTACCGGTAAGTACTAAAAGGTTTCCTCTATTGGGGTTTGACTCAGCAGCTCTTTTCGCCTGCTTAGTATGGTTACCATGGCAAAGTGGTGTTCATTACTGTTCCACTCACAAACAAGCAGCACTCCACTCTTTGGAGTAACTAGACACAGTTTCATTGGGCTTTGTAGGTTGAAACGATAGGTGCTTTTTGTCAACATGAGAATGTTCTGGTAAACATTTTAGATGCCTCACACCTTTTGACTGTAGGGCGTAGTTGACTTTCCAGTATGATGGATTTTAATTAGAAGTTTGTGCTGTTACCAACATTTTCTGGTAATGATTATCTGTTGATTCAGTTTGCACAATCTTTAAATGCAATGTGTAACATAGTGTCTTGACATATTTAAATAAAATTTTGTTTTTTTTAACAGACCCCTTTGTGTCTTTATATTAAATTGAAGTTATCAGTGCGTTATGAATATCAATTAAGGTCTTTAATTGTCCGTCCAGCCATGTTCTGATCCGCTTATCCTCACAAGGGTCGCAGGGCGTGCTGGAGCCTATCCCAGCTCTCTTTGGGCAGTCGGTGGGTTACACCCTAAACTGGTTGCCAGCCAATCGCAGGTCTGTAATAGTATGTATGGTTATTGACACGTCCACCTTGTCGTCTTGAGATCTGGTTGATTGTTGTTTGAGGATGAGATATCTCATCCGGCCTTCCTGTGTGGAGTTTCATCCAGCATGTTTTCCCCACTTTTTGCTGAAGTTTGCTGGGTAATATAGCTTCTGTGCACACAACAAATGTTGCATGGTAGATTCATTGAAGATGATGTGAAAGGATGTCTTCATATGCACTGTGAGGCTGTGATTGACTGGTGACAGGTCCAGGGTGTGTGACGCCTCTTGTCCACTTAGCTAGAGAGGCTCCAGCTCATCCATGACCCATATCATCAGCACTGTAGAAGACTGATACAATCACAGTGACTAGTATGTGGTGAAATGCTGTAAATTATATTACAAGTATTTTATGTCCGTTGTTTCCTGAGGCACTCCAAATTGTCCCTAGGTGTGAGTGTGAGCGCGGATGGTTGTTCGTCTTTGTGTGCCCTGCGATTGGCTGGCAACCGGTTCAGGGTGTCCCCCGCCTACTGCCCGAAGACAGCAGGGATAGGCTCCAGCACCCCCGCGACCCTTGTGAGGATAAAGCGGATCGGAAAATGTATGAATGAATGAATGTTTCCTGAGGATGGCAAACTCATCACCTTTTATTCAAGAATTTTATTGTCTTACCAACACACACTTCCACATGATGTTTGACGGTTTCTTTGGGCCATGTAAGTAATGAACAGGTACTCTATGTATTTTGGTCCACAGTAATCAAGAAGAAATACCCCAAACAACCTTTGTAGTAGCTAGATCATTGGAAATGTATTTTATTTAGATGTACAATTTGAGGCACTCAGAAACTCTAAAAGGACAAAACAAAAACTGTTATACAAAAAAAAAAGCTTTAAAAATATAGTAAAGTACAGTTGGACTGAATAGATGATCTTAAATGGGTGAGTTTTAAGTTTGGATTTGAAAATGGGGAAGGAGTGAAAATAGTAAATTTGCAGGAGGAGGTTCAAAAGGGTATGGGTTGGAGTGATGATTTGAAGGAGGTCCGACATATGTACCGTCAGGCTGGTCACTATGGGCATGCCATAGGGGGCCGTGCACGCCCACCAAGGTACTTGTGGACCCCATCCCGTTTGAGGCATGCATTTCTAAACATAAACTTTAAAAAAAAACAAAAACATTATTTGTACATTCCACCACATTGTGGTTTGCGTGCGCCATGTCCAGTCTCTCATCATGAATAATAATTGTAAAATTTAGTTAAAATAATAATAATACATTTCATGACATAATGCCATCAAAAGCAATGGTTTGGTTCTATTTCTGTGAGTTCTTGCTTGATGATAGGGCCAAGTGATTGAGGAATCTTCCCAAATAGCTTCACTTTGCCACATGCATACAGCAGCAGAGTTGGAGTATATGTATTTTTAAATGTTATCAGTGATCATAATTGCAGTTGTATGTACAAGTATATTGAGCAAAGTAAGTATTGTCTGTAGGGTATTTTTAATAATAATTGGGCATCATGCATTTTCAAATCAGCTCATCCTCACCAGGGTCGCAGGCGTGCTGGAGCCGATCCCAGCAATCTTAGGGCAGTAGGCAGGGTACCCCCTAAACTGGTTGCCAGCCAATCGCAGTGCACACATAGGCAAAGAAACATTCACGCTCGCAATAACACTGAGGGACAATTTAGAGTGTTACATTAACCTGCCGTGCATGATTTTGGAATGTGGGAGGGAACCCGGAGAAAATCCACGCAGGTACGGGTAGAACAAGCAAATTCCATACAGGAGGGCCGGAGCCGCAATCGTACCTTGCACCTCTTCGCTGTGAAGCGGACGTGCTAAGCAGTCGTCCACCGTGACGGAAAGTAGTTTTGGGACCGTTTATCTTCACCAATCCCTTCACGTAACCCGACAGTAGATCCATGTATACTATAAAAACTACATTGGAAAGATGGCGAGTGTAACATCCTCGTTAGTATAGTGGACAGTATCTCCGCCTGTCACGCGGAAGACCGGGGTTCGATTCCCCGACGGGGAGAATTCCTTTTTTTTTCTTTCCTTTCCAGAACTGTCAACTAATTTTTTCATTTTCCACTTTAAAAATCGGACAACTCTTGGCTGTGACCTGTCAGCGAGTCCAGTCGCATTTGCAGCACCGACGTAGAAAGCAAAATTATAGAATATCGAGCATTTGTATTGGTATAGTACTGTACTACCATTGAAAATGAATGGAATTGGGTCTGGACTGTTAAGAATTTCCCATGCTTTGAAAAGTTCTGCTTATTTTTGTTATTTTCTGAAACAGATGGACACTAGCACTACTTCAGGAGATTATTTATAGTTAGGGCTGTGTCAGTATTGATGCGCGTACAAAGGCTATAATGTTCAATTTTAATTGTCATATATAGTATATGTTGTGCATGAATACTTGTTACAACTGTATTACTGCCCGTGTTTTTATAGATGTTGCGTTGTATTATTGTTATTTTATGTTAAATGTTGTGTAAAGCGCTTTGTGATAGCTGCAGCTGTTGAGAAAGTGCTATCAACATAAAGATGTGTTGAATTGTATTAATTTGCCCAATTTCTTTTTGAAGAGATAAAAACTTAACTGGAAATTCACAAGGCTTTTTGTGTTAAGTGCGAGTGGGAATGAATGACAGTAATTCGACCTGTTTTAAAACGGGTCAAACCAGCTCTTTAGAAAGAGTCACGTATCCTGCCATTGACACCAATGTAAAATAATTATGAAATTCAATCTCACCGAAAGAAAATAGCCAGTGCAGGGCAGTGTAGTACAGTACAGTAAAGTACTGTTGAAGACCCCACAGCGTGCAACACCGAAAAATGCCTGCAGGTGTCGTTCAATGTCAACTGAACAATGGCTGCCAGCGGCTTGCGACGTACAGTGAGGCAGCTGGAGCAGTATTTTGCTTCCCTGACTAGGAGCCACTGTCGTGTCGCTGAACTTGACATCCAGCATCACAAGGAGGCACGGTCACCTCAAACCGTGACGACCTTAATTACAGGTAAGGAAACTTTCTGCTGCGATTCGTTTGAGTGCATTACTCTGTAAAATGTCGGAGCTGTGCTGTCGTTCCGCTGCTAACTGACGTGGCTAATTGCTAGACAGCTGCGTGGTATCGGATCTTACTTTGGGCCAGTGGAAGTTGCTGTGCAGAGTTTTACCAAGCGAGCACCACCAGACGTCAGGGATGAGCTAGCGGGGCTACGTTAGCTGCAAGCATGCTACAGAGCTTTCTCGCGTCAACGCAGCGGGGCCACGCACCAATAGGCGTCCTCGTCCTCCTACTGCCCCCAAGGGTGGCGGCTGTCCAGCTGTCCGTGACCTCCGTGATGGGACGAGCTTTGAATGCCCTCAGGGGAGAGCTGGACAGATGTGCATGGCTGTACTGCGGACAAGCATTCATGGTCCTGCTACCCGCGAAGCTAGATCTGACGTCTTACTTTCACTTGCGAGCTTTGACACATTTTAGGCCAGGGACTGACCAACTTTTTTTTTAATGCACATGAGATGCAGTGCTACGTGGTGACGTAGTACTCCGGGTGCGGATCACAAACAGATGTATGCGACTGCAATCGACCAGGCAACAGTTAGTCTCCCTGACAGAAATTTGGATCGATCACATGATAACAACGCAGAGGTTTATCACTTTACATCATAAGGTCCAAATATAAATGTTATAAATGCAAAAGAAGTAATTAAATTTAAATCAATATGGAACGTGGACGTGGTGTCACTCTCAGGCCACCCCCACACCTTGTGGCAAATTTTGATGTCTGTTATTTCGCTGCCATTTTCACATGGATGCAGTATTCTAAGATCCCTTGATACTCTACCATAAATCACTGGTATATTTATTCCTTAAATATGCAGTTAATATAGTTCATCTGAATGTGAACTCTAAAAGAATCTGTTTTAAGTAAAGAACATTTTGATTCCTAAGGTCAATATAAATCAAAATATTTATTTTCAAGCCATCACAAGCAAACAGCAATGCCAAAAAGTCATAAACAGCAATGCCAAAAAGTCATTGTTTATCACATCATCCACAGTTATGGTTTCAGGAAATAAATTACACACTTATACCAATCTTGCACACACACTCATAATAAAAGCAAGTAAAACGCAACATTTGGAATTGTGAGGAATTAAGAGATTTTCATGTCATTGTTTTTAGACATAATATGAAAGAGCCAGGGATTGCTGGGTGTAAAATGTGTGTGTGTGTGTGTGTATATATATATATATATATATATATATTTAAACAGTATTACTGTTCCACCGAAAGTTAAGCTTAATGGCATCAAGGAAAAAGTGACGATAATTATCGAACCCGAATTAGGTCTGATGTAGGAAAGAGGTAGATTGGGGTAACACCCATATAGTGCTCTGATCTGACCTGGTACGTCGTAGCACATTGTCACGGTGTACTGATAGATATCATGCAAATGTAGAGTATAGAGAATAAGAATATTGAGATAGCTGTCCAGTCATCGGAATTGAGGTAGCCTGTTCTTTTAATTGTATGATTTGTGAAGACACCCATATTGTGATCTTTTAATCTGTTCTTCAGCATAATCTAATTGCCATTTGCTTTATTAGTAAGTAAAGTTCATTGACTGTGTTGCAAAACTATGATACACACACACACACACACACACACACACACACACACACACACACACACACACACACACACACGCACACACACACACACACACACTCACACTTACTGCCATACATTTGGTGTGCCTTTGAGGGGCGTGGCCAAGTGGGTGACGTCTAGAGCTGCAGCCAATCCTGTTGGCTGTCTACCACATGGTTAGTTAACTGTTGGCATTTGCTGCATGCTCCTTGTCAGTATTTTAATTTTGTATTTGTGCATTTGACATTTGTCCGGTTTCATAAATGTCTGAAAGTGGACCGTTGACTCCCCCCCTCTCCGCTTCCCTTGAGCAGTGGTGTATCTGAAGCTTGCTGGAACTTCAAATTGTCTGGTTTGATCGATTGAGTTTGAATCTGATGAAGCTAGTGCTAATACAGCTCACAGTCGAACAATCTAAAAATATTTAGTGGAGAAAAGATCATTAGGTGGTGAAGTTAGAGTGTGGACTGTGTTATTCGTGATCCAATCGTGTGTTCCTGTCCAGTAGTCCGTGTGTATGCGTCACATGGCTCATTGTGCAAAAGCCTCACAAAATGTCTGTTTTTCATTCTTATTCTTATTGTTGTACATACAGTATGTGTGTGCGTTCACCCTCTACCAATTAGCAGCTTCTCACCTCCTGAGGCGGCAAGTGTGAAATTCGAAAGGGCTTGTCGACCTTCACCTGAACTCGCTCAGACACATTCGAACACACCACTCAACAGCACTGTTCCTCCACTCAAACACATATAGACCCTGATCTGAAGCCAGTTTCGGATAATGCCGCCTTGTCTGTCTCAGAGCCCATGTGACACTCAAATGGGACTGTATTGTGTTGCTGCAGAGAAGGCGCGAGACAGGCAAAGACAAGTGCCAGCCTGCGCCAAAGTGTGTGCCTTTGTCTAGCTGATGTACAGACACACTCTGTCTCGTTAGTTTTCAGACACCTCGAGCAATTTTTAGTTTGTATTTTTTTTTAGGTGAAAATCACTAAAAGAACATTATCACATATAAACTATATTATCGTACATGATTCTTAAGAATTAAAACAATACATTCATTTTTTTACAATGATGTCACTGATGTGGTCCAGTGGTTAGCACGTCGACCTCACAGTGCAGAGGTCATGGGTTCGATCCTGGCTCCGGCCTTCCTGTGTGGAGTTTGCATGTTTTCCCCGTGCCTGCGTGGGTTTTCTCCGGGTACTCCGGTTTCCTCCCACATTCCAAAAACATGCATAGCAGGCTGATTGAACATGCAAATTCCACACAGGAAGGCCGGTGCCAGAATTGAACCCTGCACCCCTGCACTTTGAGGCGGACGTGCTAATCAATCTCCTACCATGCCACCCCGAACAGGATAAGCGTTATTGAAAATTAACGGATGGATGGTTTTGTAATACGACCAAATATGTCCCAGGGGCCCACGTGTTTCATTTCCCATTTTGGATTTTCATCATTCTACATAAAAGATGCCCTTGACAATGACTTGACTTTGATGAGAGATTTGCCCCAGGTGCTGTTACGATGGGGAAAAAAACAAGCTGTCTAATTAGCTGTGTTCGTCTTTATACCATATATTGGAATTTGCATGTTTTCCCCTGCGCTAGCGGCACGGCTTTCGCTAACATTCCACGTTTCTTAGGATATCTGAACTCTAAATTGTCTGTCAGTGTGAAAATTATTTGTCTGTATATGCCGTGTGATTTAAATTTAAGCTTTACCCTGTCTACCAATTCAGTCAGGGCAACAGCTGAACCACGGCCCTTGTGAGAAGTTGTGCAGAAAATGGATGGCTGGATGTTTGTCGTGAGGCTGCATTTGTTTTGTTTTTCTCCAATGAGTCACTTGCCTATATTGTATCATCTTTGAGCCGGGGGGGGGGGGCACTCCAGTGCATTTTCGAACCTAAATCCCATGTAAAATATCTGATCCTCGAAAATGAATGTTCATAAAAGCTATGTCAGTTCTCCATGATAACTGTGTTCATGAACCATTTGTTGAGGCAGATGCTTCATTTGCATTTCAAAGAAATGAATGAATTTGATCCAAAGAGACAACATAACTGGTGTTCTTTAAGGAGTAGTTATTAAATGTGTTGTCCCTCATTTATCTTGTCTCTTTGGAAGACTTGATTGCAAATCTGTGAAGGCCACACACAGTCCAAAAACTGAAGTTCAGCGATCACGGAATTTGCTGCGCATTTCAAAGCTCTCCGGTCATTGAAAATGGTCAAAATCAGGGCGTGATCCAAAATATGACATTTACATATCATTTTCAACCCGGCAGCGAGATGTCGAGGACAGACAGCACACTGCAGGGCGTGGTACCCGATACGGATTTTTATTTATTTATTTTGGGGGTCAAATCCGCTCTTGTTATGTTCGTGTCCAAATTACAAAAAACGAATGCGTCCTCTAACGTTAACTGAACGCGTCGGTGATGTGACACGCATGTGCACACAGCGCGACAGAGGAGCGATGTGGGAAATGGTGATATTATGGGGAAATAACACCAACACTTTTCCTTCTGTTCATTTCATCAAGACGTCCAGTAGAGATGATGTCACATCACTGCCGCATAATAAATGGACGGTATGGTTGAATTTCATTTATTATCGTACTGTATGCAGTATGTTCACAATTTCTAGGTCAAGGGGCTGTATTCACACTTTAAATCTTTGCTTTAATATCACTTGTTCTGCTTTAAAACCATAATTTGGTGAAATGTTTCGTACTTTAGAAGTACAGTACCGGTAATGAAAATAAAAGCTAAATCTGCCCTGGAGGAGCAAAGAATGTTTATTTTACAACCAAAATGTTCCACGGTGTTTTGGTTTTGCAGACAATTTACTAAAAGAATTATTTCTTGATTAGCAAATTAATTAAACCAACTTTCAAGACGCCGAATCAAGATTTGCCCTCCGCGGAATCAACGCATCTTCTCTGCAAATCCCCAGGGGGACTACTTCGTGTTTCCATTGCTTCCTTTGAAGCACAAAGACGAAGCCGAAGTTAAAAAAAATATACAGTGAAATTCCTGGATTTGAGAATATGAAAAAAATGTATATTGATGTTTTAACTCCGATAATTATGAAGATGGTTAATTGTGCTCTCTTAAATGTATATTTACAATCCCCAAATACAGAAGAAGAAAATGCACACACAAAAAAAGGTAGCGGACCATTAAATTGCACATTAATAGGACAATGCATTGACCGAAATGCCTTTCAAAATTTGACCTACAGCAGTGAGCTTGAGAAAAGCCAAACGCTTGCTTCAAGGATTTTACTGCCACTCCCAGTTAAAGTTTTCTGTCCAACTAAACATAAAACAGAATTACACGTGTATTTAAAACAAT